ACCCGACCACTTGAACTGATGAATATATACACTATACGTATCAAGTCTTCAGTAGTTCACAGTAACAAAATAAACTTTGCATGGTCCAAGAGTTGATCCAAGGGGTAAGAGGACTAAATGATACCTCCTGGAAGATAATGTTTCGTTAAACAATCACACCGTTTATTATTACCATGTTTTTTGAATTACATAAGACTTTCTATGTTTGTCCCCTAGCTTCTAATGTAAAATATTTCTGAACATTTCAGACGAAGAACCTGTTTAATCCTCCGATATCAGTTGCATCAGTCCGTAATCACAGTATCCATTACCGCTGTCATTAATAAGACATACAGGATCATTCTTTGAATACTTCTTCCGCGGCAGTGTGCATAGGCAATTTCGGTACGCGTGTGTGTATGAACTCGGTCTTTGGGTGAAACGTAGACCGCGCGGAGGTTAGGTTAGATGTAGTATTGTAGACAACAATAATATAATCAGTCCGAATCGTTTGTTACGGATAAAGGCGATACGCAAAACTCGCTTCTGCGCGTCTAGATACAGCGAAAAACAATATTCGTTTTACACATTGTTGGTGAATATATTTTGTTATAACATGATTTTTCTCACTCAATGTCTTTTTACGTCGTACACCTATAGTGTATTCGCATCGAGTTCAGTCATCATTATTAAGGCTAACATTTTTTTCATAATTATTACTACTGCAACAGTGTGCGAAACGAAAAACAACGGACTTTTGATCTTCCAAGTTAAGTAGTCACATATTTTGTAATTTGTTGAGTCTTAAAAGAGAGCGATAGGAATATGATATAATTGCAGTTGTCGATACCACATATTTATTTATAATTTAACGGGCTATGCCATTTTTATAAGATTTTAATAACTGTTGTAATAACATGTGTGTAAAAGATAAGGAGGTATATAAACTTATTAATTAATTTTATCACAATCACAAAAACTAATCTATAATAATCTTATTAATTCTAAAGCCTTAATTTTAAATATAATATGAGAAAATATAAAAAAATCTAATTTGGTTGATATCTAATTGACCAAAACAAGAACTCTTGAAAAAAATGTACTATTTTCACTATTGGTATAATACTTTGGAACTATGAAAAGATCCAAGTTCTTTGTGCTAATACAAGGGAAGCGAAACTCAATTTTGGACAGTAGGTCAGGACAGTCAATGAGGTTGTACAAGATATCATAATACTAAATATTATAACTAGCATAATTTCTGCTATTTGACGCTTTATATTAAGTTAGTCTAGGCTCAAGAAGTTTTAAATAATATTAACGATGTATCTAGTAATGTGTAAATCAGTAATATAAGAAATTTTTAAATCTTTTTGAATATTTATATTGGACATTATCAAATTCATTTATATATTTTAAGTAATTAGAATACTAAATAAGTGAACCAAATTCGAGGTTAGATCTAACTAATGACATATATAGGGTTTTTAAACAATTATGGTTTTTGAATTCTTTCGTATGTCTATTTATAAAACCAAGTTCAAATGCCTATGGAATAATTGATAATTTGAATATAGGTCTAAAGTTTATAACATTAGTTTTATCGCGAGGTAGGTGTATATATAATTTTTTTTAAAAATAAGGAAACACCCTGATAGAGCCATCCGGTCCCGCCCCTATCGATTCACTTAATAAGTCAAATGTATCTAATATTACTGTCATACATTAAATTTATTTATTTTTTTTTAACATATAATTTATAAGTTATTTCATGAAAAACAGAAACAACAACTTCAAATTAATATTTTGATGAATATTTTTAAGAGCCTTAAAGCTACGCATTTAAATATTAAAATTGCATTGTAATATTTTATACTTTATTAACTTTCTTTAAGATTATCTTTAGAAATACTACAGATTTTAATGATTAAAACTATATTCAATTAATAAAATAATAAAAATAAATTAAAATTAATAATGATTAAACGGTTAATATCCGTAAATTAATATATAATTTAATAAACAAATTTTTTTGTCATAATGAGTTATAATTTTATTGACTTTATATATATATATGTGATGACGAATTTTTAATGCGAAACTGGTCGTAATTTAAAATTATATATGTATCCTTCAGGCTAAAAATGTATTAATTTAGTTATTTCTATATAATATATAATATATATAATAATATATAATAATAATATAATATATATATATATATATATATATATATAATAAATATATAATAGTTTGTATTATATACTATTTATTTATATGTTTATATATGAAAATTAAATTCATATTATAATATAATTTAGTATTTATACAAATTATATATATGCATAGTCTTTTTTATAACCATTATTTTTGAATATTATATATACCTAATCATTAAAAGAATAAAATTCAGGAAATAAAGTGTTTGAATTCTAATAATAAAAGATTTTAAAATTGTGACCTATTTTTTAGATCATTAATGATATGAAATATTCAACCCATTTTTGAAAAGGCTTAACATTTTTAGGTGATTAAGCGCTCTAATTCTGATTTATTAATTAAAGAAGTTAAAGTAATTATAGCTGTAATAATATTAGTTACTTACACGTTTTATACAAATATATTATTTATACTATAATCGTTTTAAAATCGAATTAAAAATATTTTCATAATTAACTATTACTTATAAAACAAACATGCTATATTTCACTACATTCAGTGTTAAATATTAATGAAGTATAACTTATAAAATAAGCAATTTGGCTAAGTATTACATCTGATTTAAAATGTAATACTTATGAATCATAAACAAGTACATAATAGAAAATTTATGTTTATCCAGATGAAATTAATTCTGTATATACTTATAATATTTAAATATTGTAAAAGCTTGGAGTCTAAGCTCCAAAATTTATAAGTGAAACAAATGATTTGTTTATAAGGGTGTTATTACGTTTATTGTTTTCATTAAACACGAGATATTATATTTATAAAAGTAGAAGTAAAAGGCCCTTTTTTGTATTAATATTTAAATGAGGCATAATTTATATTGTATGATATTTACTATATATCGTATATAATATAAAATACTATTACACCATTTTATGGTTTTTATCATAGAAATTGTTTTAGATTTTGAACATAACTGTCTAGATATATATATATATATATATATATAAATATAGATCTAGATGGTCATTTATTTAATAACGATGTGTGTTTTTTTTATCTATGATTACATTTTTGATTTGAAGTTTTCCGAAAGTTTCATATAGTATTTCTATCGATTGAAAGTTTAATAGCATAGATACTGTATTTTAGTGAGGCTATTTTTTTAAACGCTCTTATATTTTCGAAGCATTTCAGAAAAACAATCAACAAAAATAATAAATTTATTGCAGAAAATCTATTTTTGTGATCTTTATATATTTCTAAAAATAATAAGCTCAGAAATTAAAAATATTAACAGTTCTTTTTTTTTAATATTTGAATTTCAGTACATTCAATTTTACGTTTTCAAAATATGTTCTTTTTATTTGTAATTTATATTTCAAATATTAAAAAATGTAATATAATGTTCACTTAACATTGTTCAGTTTACATTTCTTAGACATGTCAAATGACGAAAACTTAGCTACGAATAATAAATTATGATAAGGCATTATCTTTTACTAATTGGAGCGAAGTGAGAGAATTGTCTGCTACCTTACCATAATGTATTCGGTCATTTTAAACTCACTTTTTAATATTATATTTTATCAGCATTTTAAATTTAATATTTGCCTAAAACATAATAGTTACATATTTTTTAATATAACTCTATTAAATTCATATTAATTTCTAAAAAATCATTTAATGCAATCAAAATATTTTTAGACTTTTAGACTTTAAGATACATTATAAAATATTTAATTATAAATTAAACCGTACAATAAATATGAGAAATTAAGATTAAATTATTTAAAATTTAAAAAATGCGTGATTATTGAATATAATGAACTGATTATTTACACTTTTATGTATTAATATAAATTATATATAATTGTAATATATTTACTAAAATATAAACGCTGAAATATTACTACAAATATAGAAGTAAAGAACTTTAATGTATAAATTGTATAAAAGTTATCATTAATCTTTATGGGTATATTTATAATTGTTGTCCAGCTATTAAAAAAAAAAAAAATAACTTTAGATCATTATTTACACTATATCTTCGTATTGAATAAAATCATTAAACTAGTCAAAGGTGACTAGAAAGTGGTAGAAAGGTTTGGTTAAAGTGTTGGCGTTACGTGACCAAACAATCAATCAAGATCCATTAGCTTAGCTTGTAGTTATGTATTCTACCCTTGAGGAAAAAACTACAATGCTTTTATTTTAGCATTATAGCGAAAAAAGGAAACTGGAGTTATTAGTCACGTATACTGCAAAGGGTAACTTAATTGAATAATCAATTCCATTATTAAAACATTGTGTGGCTATGACCACGCATTGTATATTTTAAGGTCATTAAAATATATTTACGGTAGTTTAAACTATTCATACGTTTGAAAATGGTTATATAAACTGAAATATCAAATATAAATTAAAACCTGTACCAAATGCTTTTTAGTAGAGGAAGTATTAATAATGAAAAATTATTAAATAAATCATTAACACGTATATATGTCATTCTTGCTCATTGTATATTATTATAATATGAGCACAAATTTGTCTTTCTTAATTTTCTTTATTTCTACTTAAATTTATTTGCAAGCAATTTTACAACAATTATTGGTTATAGCTCATTTATTCACTATTCATTGTTTTTTTATTTTTTCTTGTATGCTAAAATTCAATAATCTTTTGAGCTACCTTTAAAAATGTGTTAAAGTTAGCATAATTTTGTAACGCTAGGGAATTTTAACCATTAAAAATAGTATTTATAATCGTGTCTTATCCATGCGGATCTATATGTAGTTTTAACGGAATACATGGTTTTAAAGTTTTAAAATATGACATTTTTGGCTTTGTAGATGAGTGTGCTTGTGCCGATTGAAAGGGGCGATCCAGTTGGATCACAGGGCGGGTCACCACCGTGCACGGCTAGGCACAGGTTCACTCCCCCTGGAAATCCCAGCACACCGATAGACCCACTGCCCGTGCCTCCGGATGTTGGGGAACCGAATGCGGTCATCGAAACACAATTGCCGGCCGCTCACAAACATCCATGCATATCTTGCTGGTGTTGCTGTTGCGGATGCTCTTGGTAAGAATGAAGTAACATATTTCATTTTTTAAAAATTTTTAAATTAATGATCATTTCTAATTGTAAATGTATAAATCTATTATGGGATAATTTATTAAAAAATAAATTATGTTTTATATTATCTTCTTATTCAATAAATTATTATATAGATTACTAATTAAGTGTTATGAACAAATTATGTCTATGAAATAATATGTGATATTACATTAAATTCTTTAAATTGAATTCAAATGGCAGATAAAGAAAAGTTAATTATAAGAGAAGAATTTATTTTATAAATAATGTAAAATTATGAAATCATATTATTGAAAGCCTTAATAGTTCTTATTTTCTTTTATTAAATTATTCATAAGTTAAATTTTAACGATCGATGAATAATCTACAAGATTAGGTTATTAGTTTAATTATAATAAACCTTTTATTGGAAATAATATAAACATATTGGCACAAAGTATTAATATATAATTATATGAAATTAGGCTAATTATGTAGAATATTTTTATTTTTTAATATAATTATCTTGATATATCTGTAAATATTTGAATTTAACGTTTGCTTAATTTTCACGTTTAGATTAAAGTTGAATAATTTATTAAATTTATTTACATTTAATTCTTAATAGAAAATATATTTAATAGCTTATATCATAACAGATTTTTAAACTAAATTTTAATTTAAAATGGTTTTTCTTGTGTGATTGAATAAGTAGACTGATATATTAGAATTTTTAGAATATTTTTGTTTTTTTATTTAATAATTATTTTAATTGATTTCTTTGTGTACAATCAGTGTTTATTTGCATGCGTACAGGAGTAGGATATGCAAACTGTGGTAAGTTAAAAAAATTTAATTATTAATTATATAAACAATTCGCTTTTTGATAATTAAATACTCTTAAATGTTTTTTTGCATTTAAATTTCAATAGTTTTGAATTAATTCTTAATATTTTTATGAATATATGTTATATATGTTAATTTTTTCTAAATGTAAATTCAAATTTTTTTTATACTTATTACGAGTGTTTCCAAAAGTTCAGTGTGATTAAAATAATGGGTACATTTATTTCTTCATTATGTATTTGATTATAATGATGTATTAAACTTAATAAACAATGAATAAGCAGTTATGGTTCTTTTTGAAGCATAATTATTCAATAAATATTTCATTCTTGATATTGTCTATAGTATAAACTTGATACGTAACTTGAATTTTTCTATAAATATGAGGGGCCATTTATGACAGAACCTAGAATATAAACAATTCACAACCAATAAATAAAGTATGTTTAAATAATTTAATTACACATATTTTTGGAATTATTCAATTTTATATTCATATCAAAAAAGCTATGATTTTGATAATTGAGATATTTTGAACGCAACTGATATAATTTATGCGAATTTAGGTAAGGTATAATAACTTGTAATTAGTAAGTTCGTTTAATATTGCACTTATTTTAATAAACTTAAACAAAATAGCTTCACAAAATTAAACAATTCTAGGTTTTATTATATATTTTGGTTTAAAATATAAGTAAAGTTAAAAATTTAATCTGAGAAAATTTCTAACAATCGGAAACTACAAAATGTAATGAATTGTCTTTTAATATCAAGCACATATTGTAAATAATACAGTATTTTTGTTTATAAACAATGTTGATGAGATTTAATTTAATAAATATAAATAATATAATTTATTTAGTGATTATATTTATTTTTAACAGTTATCCATGAATAAAGAAATCTTAAATAAATTATAAATATTCTTTAACCAAAAATTTAATAAAAAGTATAAATTATAAAGAGGATTTTATCATAATATTGAATTAAATATGACAAATTATAAATTAATAATAAAAAAATTATATTTTAATCAATGATTTATGTTATATAATTATAACTAATTTAACTATACATTTAAATAAAAATAGTTTTAATAGCAATATTTTACATGAAATAACTATATTCAATATATATGATACAATTAAAAGTTTTTTTTTATAATAATTCCTATACATTAACTATAAGAACTAATAATTAATTAATTGATAATAAATAATTTTATCAAATACTTATTTGGAATTTAGATTAGAATAGTTTTAGTTTTTAGGGATATAGTAATTAAATAAATGTTGTACTTATCTCTAACATTCAATTTGTTACTTTTTATTCCGCATTTTCACGCTAACAGGGATCGTTTTTGGTAAGTATTTTTCAAGCTAAAAAAATATTTTCATAAAACAAATAAAAATGTATGTATGAAATAATTTTATTATTACTTATTATTGACTTATTTATAAATATTTATTAATAAACTTAAATAATTTATAAAAATACTATTCAATATATAACTTAATATGAAATGGATATAAAAGACAATAAAACAATATTTGATAATACTATATTATTTATCTAGAGCACTATAAATATACAATTAGGTAATGAAAATAATACATTTTTCAACATAAAAATGTAAATTTATAATTATTAACTATTATTTCTTTCAGTTTCCCATTAAAAGGCCACCCTCCGAAAACGAACAACGGAAATGGGTCTAGTGGTGGCATAGTTGAAAATCCTGTAGAGTTAAGGTAAATATATTCATGCTGTAATATTTATAATTATATTTTATAAACTCAACAATTAATACTTTTGTTTTTATAAATAACTATTTATAGCTATGTAATATTTTTGATGTGATTTTTTAAAATTATAATGTTATATTAAGTATAATAATTTAAAATTTGAAAAAGAGCTACTGGTTAAGTTCACTGTATATTTGCGTAAAAAAATATAGTTGTCATTTTTTATTAATTTGTTTTAGCGGTAGTTACAAAAATATTGGCTATTTGTCAAAGTATAAACCAGCTGTTGAAATTAATATTTTTAATTTAAAATAAATTATGTAAACGGTTGTTAATCATAGTTGAGAAATAAATGAATTAAATAATTTCAAGTTACACGTATTTATTCTCTAACTGTCTATTAAACTACTTTTATTTCTTATAAATATAATGAAATTAAAATTATTTAAAACATATCCATTTAAATAATTAAAAATAATATAATTATCAACATTATTAAATAATAAATATATGGGTGTACATATGAATAGTTTTATACTTTGAATTAGTGTTAATTTTTAAATGTTTGTTTGAAATATTTTTAAAAATAAAATAATAAAGATTTCTATTTACAGGCCTCCATTGGAAGAAGTCCGAAGTTGGAGTAAATCATTTGACCGACTTCTAAAGTGCCCTGGTAATTAATTTTAGAAGTATTATATTTTACGTTGTATTCCTGGGTTATACCTAATAGTCGAAATCATCAACGGATTTTGATTAAATAATAAAGCTTTAAAATTTAAAATTATGTTATTAATTGTCTATAATAGTATAATATTATATTACATATTATAATATTAATATCCAAATCGCCAAAAAATTAAAAACTAAATTATAATTTAAAAATTCTCTTAGATTTAAGCTTAGTAAAAATTAGTTTTAGTAATTAAAACTATAAAATATTTTAATTTTATTTAGTTATTTGCAAAAGGGGTTAAAAATGAGTTTATTTTTTATTTTAAATCGTAAATGTATGAATAATTAAAATTAAAATCATGGTTTTGTATGATATCTATTCCGTTCGATTAAAAACTGCGAAATTATACCAACCAATATTTGCATTATATTTTTAGAATACTATGAAAGTATAGAAAATTTGTTGTTTATGTAATAATCTTTTAATCTTCATATACGTATATTATATAATTCATAAAATGGTAAAAAATTTTATAATTTTATTAGAGTTATATTAATTATTATAGAAAAAAACAAAATTCACAATAAATAATATCCTTGAGTCTCCAAATACCATGAAAAAAAAAAAAAAACGAAGAATGGACATTCTTAATTAAAATATATTGTATTTATTTTTAATAAAGAAACCTTAAATATGTTCAAATACGCTAAGATGTTTAATAGGTTTAAAAAGTTATGAATATTTTAATCTATTATATTAATATGGCATGTAAAAATAAATGAGATTTTTAGAACATTAAGAAATATAAATAAGAATTATTTACACATTTATTCATTGTACATTGTAAATATATGCATTAAAACACAACATAATAATAAGCTTGAAGTAAAACGTAGCTGTCGTGAAATTACATTTTTAATTTAAGTTAAAACACTTGTAATAAACCTTTTTTAAATCAAAATATATGTATTTATCTAGTATATATACATAATTATATTTCTTCGATATTTGGTTATTTAGTTAAAACAGAATGCAATTATAATAATATTCTTTGTTTTTATGTTAATATTGCAGCAGGAAAAAAAGTATTTCGTGATTTCTTACGATGTGAATATAGTGAAGAAAACATATTATTCTGGATGGCAGTAGAGGAGTTGAAAAAAGAATCAAATCCTGATGTAATCGAGGAAAAAGCTCGGTTCATTTACGAAGATTACATTTCTATTCTATCTCCTAAAGAAGTAAGCAAAATATTTTCTCGGTATATCATAGAACAGTATTTTGACGACAATTATTTAATTTAAAAATACTTTAGTTAAAGTAATTGGAATTTATAGTTGATAATCACTTGAAATTATAGGTTAGAATCAATTAATTCAACGAATATAATATTATATTTATTTTAATTAGGTGAGTTTAGACTCTCGTGTTCGTGATATCGTCAATAAGAACATCAATCAACCCTCAGCTCATATGTTCGATGAAGCTCAGCTACAAATTTACACGCTTATGCATAGGGATTCTTATCCAAGATTTATAAACTCGACGCAGTACAAAAAATTAGCCAAACTCGAAAATGGAGCTACCGGTAATGCTCCAAACAGTGGCCAACAAACCCCAACCAAACGCAAACAGAGCAATATATGAAAACAAAACCTGGAAAACTTTCCAGGTAATTATTATTTTATAAATACATTAAATAAAATATTGATGGAAAACATTTATATTTGTTAGTCAATTTTGGTGTTGGTTTTAATATTGATTTTCTTAGAGTACCATGAGTAATATAATAATAATAAATTATTTTATTTTATAAATCTTCGGAAAAATGTATTTGTAGGTTTTTCTTTATACTAGTTCGTGCGTTAATTTACGTATTTGAGTAGATTAAATATATTATGTATATTATATATAGTTTACAACGTAAACTTTACAACATGGTCATATTAAAACTAATAAAATCTTTAGGGTTTTAAATTTTAAGTACACAATTTTTATTTTATTTATTTAAGCCTTTATAAAGTTAAATCATGATAGCACAGAAATATATAAATTTAACAGCTAATTTATATATTTGGGAAAAATTCAATACAATATTTAAATATACGTTGATTACTGAATCCAACTCTGAATAATTCATGGTCGATGATACGAATATTTTTTAACATTATCATGTATCTATTATAGTATATATATATATATATATATATATATTATGTATATATTATGCAATATAATATTAGGTAAAAATTTAAAATTACCATTTGTTTATAACTTGTGTGAATTGATAATGATGCTGTCTATAATTTATGTTTTTAAAAAACATTTATTATTCACACCGATATTATTTACAATTCCACAATGATTAAGCTTCAATATTTGCATATTGTTTTATCAATCAAGATCAGTATATTTTAACTTAAGTCTAGTAATAATTATATGAAAATAACATTTTGATTTTTCATATTTTTCAGCTATAATAATTCGTATTTGGTGTTCAAGCCTGCGTTTGGACCCATGTATTTGGGACCAGAATTGATAATTGTTCGTAGATTTATATATTATACAGGTAGTATAAGGAAAATTTGTATTTAAAACTGCGGATGTAAAGATAAATAAAATATTATAGGTTTAATTAATAAGGGAATAAATGTTTTATACGTTACAATTAACAATTTTATTTCATTTGCAACAGTATACATTTTTTTCTTTTATATCTTACATATAGTAGCGATCATTTTTTTTTTTATCATCACTGTTTTATGTTTTTTATGTCAGTACTTTTATTGAAATACCTTATTGTTTTTATATTAAACTTACACAACACAAATTCTTTTTCTCTTAAAATATGCAATATTTATTAAATTATTATGTAAATATAAAACAATAATGACATACGAGTACATTATAAATAAGTTTATATTACAATGAAATTGTGTTACCTACTAAAAATTAATGATATATAATTGCATATAATAATTATTTAAGACTTATATAATGCCATATTTGGTATTAAATATTATTCAATTCAATACACTGGTGGTATTTAACTAAATTTAAATGTTTAAATAGAATTGTTAATTTTTGTATTTGTCATATTTCCGTTCTATGGTTTCGTACAAATATTGTAATAGTACAATATTATTTACTACATAATAATTTCTAGTCTAAAAAAAGACTGTATAATTTTAGTTCATAAATATGATTACCTCTATCTTTCTTGTATATTTATTTATTTTTATTTTTTTATTTTTATGTCATATAAGGAAGCTTTTAATTGTGCCAATTTAATCATATGAGTTTTATTATTCCTTGTTTTTATTTATTTTTATTTTTAAATATAGATTTGTAAATGTGACATTTAAATTATATTTCAAATGTACCATATTACAAAATACACAATTTGCTAGACTTGAATAAAATTAAGGTGCACAAATTTCGCACAAATTCTGTTGAACAAATTTAGTATGTTTTTAAAATATAGTGTAACACATATTTATATTATTTAATTCAAATTAATAATTATTTTGGATAAAAATGATATGTATGACCTGTAAACATTAACATAACAGGGTACAACATTTTCCTTGTTTCATAAAATATTGTACTCCCCAAAATTGTCTTGAATGACTAGTCATCAATAAACTCTAATGAGGACTGCCGCTTTCAATCAAGTTCGAGAGTAGACTTAAATAAGCATTATTAAATAATATTCATACTAATAATACTATAATATTTAATATTTTTGAGTCATTTTACTTGGGTAGAACAATTATTATATTAACACAACATATAATTGTTGTGAATTTATATCAACCAATGGCTGCAATATTAATATTATTTTTTTCCTTTTTGATTTTTGTTATTTTTTATTGTAATAATTATTATTATTATTATTATTATTATTATTATAATTTTGTTATCCTTTTAGAATAACACCTTGATATTATATTAAGCACAACTTAATAATTATAAAACAAATAATAATGTATATAATTTTTGAATTGTCGAATCATTTGTAGAAATAAATGTGAATATTATGATCGGTTTGGGTACTCAGCTAATGTATAGTTGAAACAGAAATGGAGGCACGATTGATATTTTGTTTTTGTATTATACTTATACGAGTAATATTGCCTATATAAATTATCTCGTTTAGATCATGGTAATAGTAATAATTGTTATAGTATAACGAATTATATTGAGTTATCAATATAAATGTTCAATTTTAAAACAATAATAATTATTATTAATACTCATTAAATTTATTACTATCATTTTTAAACATTATTTTAGTGCGTTATAATGTTATTATTACATTATAAGGATAATGATTTGATGACGGTCTGTGCATTTTTTTTAACACTCGTAAGATTTTATAGAATACGAAAAGATTAATCTTAATTAAAATGACTGCTTTTATTTCAAATTAAAATACAAAATGTATGTTAATTGAGTATATATATGTTATATATATTATTCTTCATTTTTATGTTTTAGACGAATAAAAAATAAATATAACACAATAAAAAAATTTAAGCAAAATAGCAAAATATTTTATTTTTCCAACGCGTAAGAAACACATACAAGTTTTCAAGAACTCATCAATATATTAGTCATTTTAGTGATTTTTGTGTATATTTGGTGAATAATGGATTGTATTCTGCATTCTAATATATTGATGAATCTAATATATTATTAACTATAGGTACTAGATTAATTTGCTTGATTAAAACTTGATAAAACCACTTTTCATTTTCAGAAGTGTTTGAATTTTCTAGAAATATTATCATTTAGCATCCAATTTATTAAGAATTTGTTACCATTTTATAATATCTATGGAGTCGTTTCACTATGTTTAGAGTGTTATTTTTAAATTCATTGTTGCATTTTGAACATTGAACTTTCAAAACATCTAAATCATTGGTTCTCAACCTGTGGGACGCACTCCCCAAGGAAAGTGAGATAACATTTTAGAGGAGGCATGAAAATGTTTAAAAAGCAACGAAATATGAAAGCCTTATTTTTGATTATTTATATTTAATCGATACATTATTAAGCGAAACTAAGCAGTGTCAACCCTTTCATTAATTTGTATCTATTTCACAATAATACATTTAAAATTTATTATTTATGAAAGTGAATATAATATAATATAATTTGTTTTAATAATTTTAAATAATAATAATATATTTTCCTAAAAAAATAAGTTCATTAAGTATTCAAAACAACTTTATTGATTTTTATATTATTATATTTATCCAATAATCAACAATGAAGGTATAATTTTAATTGCTAAAAAATAGACGCGAGGAAACGCTTCATAAAATGATATATATGAAATGTGGTCCTATTGAATTGCAAAACCTAGATACTAAATAAGGCACAACTACTGATCCTGGAAAAATTTGAAGGTTGGTGTTGGAGAAGAATGCTACGAATGAGTTGGATAGTGCCAACGAAAGCATAATTAGTGAAATAAATTAACACAGTGAATGAACTTAAAACCATCAGACCATGATTGGTCACATATTGAGGAACAAACACGAACTGGCTTATAAAATAATTAAAGGGAAAATTGAAAGTAAAAGAGACCAAGGATTTCTGAGAACTTAATTTGTCAAGCTGTCTTGAAATGTCTTCGAAGCTGAACTGTCAAGCTACATGGAACTTAAAAGGTTAGCTCGAAACAAGGAAAAGTAGAGCGAGTGTATGACTATGAAATCAACCATAGGGTTGAATATAAGAAAAGAAGATATATATAATATTGAAAAAAATTAAATCTCATTATGGTGAAGGGCACGTGACAGTAGTGCTCGACTTGAGGGGGGACGCAGGAGGACGGCGTACCCTTTCTAATTTTTAGAAATTTGAGCGTCCCCCTACTATTATGATGTTATAATTATAATAAGTTTTGGGGACGCAATTTTTTTTAAGCAGAGTCCCTCTTCTTTAATTTTGCCAAGTTGAGCATTGCGCGACAGCATAAATTAGCATGAAAGGAAGCAATTACCTCAAAAATTAAAAGAGAACCTTTGATCTAAATAAAATATTTTTATTAATAATCAATGCAATTTTCACTATATAATATTTAATACTATATTTTTTTTTTTTTAATAAAAGAAAAGTTAAAAAAAAAACATTTACATATTTTTATAGAAGTTCTGTGACATTACAAATCGATAAAGATAAATCAATGTAATAATAAAATAAATATACTTCATAAATATGTTGATGTAAAAGTGATTGAATATTCTTTTTAATATTTGAGGCATTTTAATTTAAGATTTTAAGAAAATAAGTATAAAATGTCCCTTTTAATATTTTAGATACTCTTCAAAAAGACTGGACAAGTTAACGATTTTTTTTTAACTCATTAAGTTAAGTTATTTCAAAATAATAAAGTTAATTTAAATTAAAAGTTACTTGTATTTTTTCTTTAATCCTAATTTAAAAGTTAACTTCAAAAATAGTAACTTAACTTAATTTAAAATTAAGTTACTTTTTTACTTTTTACTTAAATTAAAGTTAAAATTTTCTAATTTGCAAAAAAAAAAATTGCAAACATAATATTAGTTTTTATATGATGTTGATAGTTGTTCGAATTAAGTTTTTAAATAAGGTCACTTCAAATAGTCTTCAGACATTGTAGTTAAAAAAAATAAAATAGTATAATTTATAAGTTAGTATTTATAATATATTATAAATTCTGTTACTTAAAATAATAAAAAAATAAAAAAAAAATTCTAACGTGATATGAACAAAACACATGCTAGTTAAATAATTAAATAATATTGGAAATTATACCATAGTTGTTTTGTGATTAATCCCCCATCGACACTCGCTCTCATGGTATTTACTATTTTTACAGAAAATTCTTAGGATTTCCATGGGTTTATAGTGTTTATACAATAACAATGTTATAAAAATATAATGATAAAATATAGCCCATGACAATTAAAGTTATTTTTCATATTATTTTCGTCTAGAGGAAATTTATATTAAAATAGTAAATTATAATTATACTAAAAATCTCATTTAACCAGTTACTGATTGCGCTGGATGAATAATCTTCCAGTCTATTAATAAATATGTTTATCCACTTCATTATCTGCAAAACGGATTTGTAATTCTTAGTAGCTCATCAAAATCACACCATTATTCGATAATGACATTTATTTCATTGAAAACTAGTTTAGTTCTTTGTATACACCCGTGTAAAGAAAAATTACATCTGTTTGGAGAATATTTACCCTGCGCGACTGAAAGTTTATTTCAAATGACCAAATGTAGAAAAAAACGCGACCAGCGACGGGTTAATAATTTGCATTATTCTTTGCAATAAAATTAACTTAATTTAGATACTTTTAAATAAAATTAACTTAAAGTTAACACGTTAATTTTAAAAAAAAGTAACTTACCAAGTTAAAAGAATTTGTAAAAAAAGTAATGAGTTAATTAACTTAATTAAAATTAACTTAACGTTATAACTTAATTTTAACTTTTAACTCGTTAATGCCCAGCCTTGCTCTTTAATATATCTATGTATGTATTATATAATCAGGTACATTTAAATATAAAAATATCGTCAGATACATAAAACTTTAAAAAAATTTTGAAAGCCCGTTAATTATAACTAAAATAATATCTGTATATTTTATAATATAAATTAATCCTTTCTTAAAATACTGATTGACGTATTTTATATATAGGCTATGTATATTTAAAAATTAATTCAAACATTTTTTTCAGTCACAGGTTACAAATTAATATTTGATTGTACTAAACATGTTTTGATAATTATAAGATTTGTTTTGGATAATGGCCGCAAGACAAGACAAGACAAGAAATGTTGTATTATTGTATTGTCTTGATATTAAGTCAATATCTAATGATAATTTTGTTTTGAATAATATTGAGTTTTTTTTAAATATCTTGTCTTGTCTTGAATTACCATTAAATTCAAACATTTTTATATCAGCGTCCGCCATCTAATATGCTGGTAGTCCAACAAGTACAGCGTATAAATCTTCTCTGAACTGTTATATTTCTCCACCTTTTTGTTTTCCATGAATGCTAGTGCATAGTGCAATAGCTTTGCTCTGTTAGAAATCTGTACACTGCACTCAACGGGTGTTGTACGATTGAAAATGTTTTACGTTTTTAATAACACGATTGTCGGCATATCAAAGAAACAATTTGTACTTTATAATCAAACGATTGAGAATGATTGAGATTTTTTGATCAACGCTGTCATTTATCTTAATGTTTATTAATACAAATAATAAATACGATATCGCGAATTCCTTATCGGATATTAGAGTGTAAATAATTGTTAGCATTGGCTATAGTTTATAATCGGTAACAAAGTATTAAGTATAGTGTTTATCATGAGGATAAAACAGAAAATATGAAAAATAATGTAAACACAAACTGTGATAATAATGAAATCGATTGAAAATAATTCTACTAAAACTATGGTCAGCAAAGACTTTGATTGCATTATTTCAACAATTAATTTCTACAAAGAGTTTGAATGTCATGAGGTATCTAAATTTATCTGAAAATAGTACTCCAGAAAAAAAATTGTTTAACTGTATTTATTATTTTATTGATTTATAAAACTGATTAATAAAAACTGATTTATATGTGTTAATGTATTAGATTACAATTATTTTAAAATTTAATATCAGGTATACTATTTTGTATTTTTAATCAACGTGGCAACGTTGCATAAATTTGACAGCTGTAAACGTTCTCAATCATGTTATTAAAGAAGTTATGACCAATAAGGACCGTTCTAAATTATGTTCTAACCTTACTCGTCGTGTGCGTAGTCGATGTCTGTATTATCCAGTGAATTTATCAAGTGAAAGGTGAAAAAAGGTTAGAAAAAAATTACTATAAATAATATTATAATTACTATAAAGCCAATTATGAAGAAATTATAAATTTGCCACTTGATTTAAACACTAGTTGGAATAGTTCATATGACTTGATTAACCTAACCTTGATAACAACAGGGTTGAAAATAAAAAAGTTTCTTTCAGAATTAGATGAAGAAAATTTGAAATTTTTAATTTAACATTTAATCATCGGTAAAGATAAATGTTCTGTTTTTGTTCTGACACACAGTTATTTGAAAGGTTTTAAAAAACAATTTAAAATGTTTATGATGAGCAATATTCAACTACTCCAACTTTTGGGGTTGGAGTTAATATAACAAATTATTGTATTGAACCTTTATATTTCATGTGCAACAACAAAACTGATTAAAATGCAACTGATAGACTTCTCATGCAAGCTTTTCAAGGTGTGCATATTGCAATTATTAAGTGTTAGAACAAAATCAATCGAGCTTATTGCTTATTGTATTATAAATCTCGATCTTCATTACAAATTGGAATTTCTTAAAAAGGATTAAATAGGAAATATATCGAAAAGATCAATCATTTAAAAAGTTTGTAGCTTATTATTATGCCGTTGCAACTTAGGAAACGTTAGAAAGTGAAGAAATGTCATGAAATGATGATTCATATGATGATTTTATGACAGGAATAAAAACTTTATACAGTCCGAAAAAGAGAGATTGGAAGGCTTAATTTGATCAGTATCTGTGATAAAAACAAGATCATGGTAAAACTGACCTTTTAAATTGGCGGAAGAATCATTAAAATGTTTGGAAAAAATTAAATGTGACTCATAAAAATTGAAATCAGTGCTCTAATGTTCAAATATAATTTTGTGTTTAATTTTTTAATTTTTCAACAATTTAAAATACTGCAATATCATTTATGAAATATGCTTTTCAAAAAAATATATTCATATATGATTGTATCATTTAATAAAACATTTACAATTAAAATTATGTAGTTTAGATAAAGTTGTTTAAGGTATTATTAAGATCAAGATTTAATGACAGTCTCAGAATATTTTTTAACACTTGTAAGATTTTATAGAATACGAAAAGATAAATTTTTATTTAATAGAATGTGTATATTTCAATTTGAAGTACATAATTGTTTGATTATTAAATAATTATATTATTATTTTTGATTCTTAAATCTTAGATGATTACAAAATAAATATAACACTATAAATAAAAAGGAAAAAAGCAAATTTTTTATTATTTCCTTTTTTTTAATAAATACAATATACAAACAAGTGTACTAAAAACTTCTTTAAAAAAAGTTAGGTATTTTAATTATTGTTTAATTTTGGTGAATAGTGAAAATTTATCTAATTATAAGGTATTAATTATAAATCAAATGAATTATTAACTATAGATACAGAAATGATCCTTTTATTTAGAACTTGACGAAACCTTTTTTCTTTTCCTCTGCCAAAAATGTTTGGAATTTCTGGAAGTATTCTCGTTTAGGATCCCATTTGTCGAGAAGTAGTTTCCATTCTGTGGCATAATCTCTTTGAAGATGTTCCACAACTTTTAGAGCAGTGTTTTTTTGGTAGCTGTTGCATTTTACACATTGCGTTTTCAAAGCATCAGGCAAAATTTCTAAAAAAAAATTTAATTAATTATCTTTACAATATTTATTAAATTTCATATATGATTAATATTGTGAAATTATTTGCTGAAAAATTTAAATTTTTGAATTAGTAAAATAATTTAATTTCAGAAATATATTTATGTTAGTATTTTATTTATTAATTAACCGTTTTATAATATATTCGAAGAATTTAAATTGATATTGTTCAGGAACATTGAAATTTTTCATTAAGATTTAAAACAATTATTCGATCTATATTCATAATACATTTTAAAATGTAAAATATTATACTTTGATACATGATAGTACTGTAAAATAATTCTTATATATTTTTCAATTAGATTTCCTTACATAATTTTAAATCAGATGAATAATATCTGGAAAAATTGAACCTTTTTTAAAAAATAAAATTATGAATCATTAATGAAATATATTAAAAGTCTTAAATAAATAGTTTAACTTCTTAATATTTTAAAAAAATATATACTATTCTGGTCTTTCTAAATTTTTTTAATCTAAACCATTGATTACATTCATATTCAAGATTAAATAAGTTTTTAAATTTTTAAATATTTTGTATAAAAATTGTATTGAATTAAATTTATATTAGTTATATAAAATCAAATAAAAACTATAGCCATATTTAATGAAAAATTTCCAAAGGAAATAAAATAATATCTGTATATTTTGTGATAGTTATAATTTTATTCATGCTTATTAAACCAATTAAGTACATTAATACATAGTATATATATCCAAATAATGTTTTTAAAGTCGCAAGGTACGTTAAATAAAATATATATTAAGTAATACAATTTTTTTTTACTGAAAAAGTGTTGGATTTATTTCACATAAATTATACCCTATTTTTTTATGTTTATCTATATGTTTATTTTTTTAATGTTTTTTTTATAAATGGTTGTGATTAAAACTATCACACGTTGATTGATACTATAATAATATAATAACATTCTATTAGCTCGGTATATAAGGTTGAACATATAAAAGTTGAATGTGAATAAATGATTTTGTTAATTCAAGCAAATAGTAATGAATAGTAACTATTATTATTATTAGTAATGATCATGTAAAATTATTGTAATTAATACGTACTTTTAAGTTCTGCGCCTTCTGGTGTGCAAGGTTTCTTGTCCAATAGACATTGCACATAACTATTTACCAATCTTTTCGAACGTAGAATTTGGTCCACATCAATGTTATCGTATTTAGTTGTGTAAGCTGATCCGTTGGCAACTGCCGTGTCTTTTTGTGGTGCGCCGGCCGTCTGGTACACCGTGAACACTGTAAAGATAATACAGATTACTGCAATTCGTGAATCCATGGCTTACGGTTGTATCACAGAATAAGATACTGTATACTGAAGATATGATGTTTTGAACAGTCTTTTATAAGTAATAATTATTGGAGTCGATCAAGTGTGCGGTTTTTTTTTTTTTTTTTTGTTCGTTATGCTAACTAAAACTGAGACAAAGTGCGGTAGTAACGTAATAATTTATACCAAATGACCTTCTAGTGACGCGTGATTGTCGTCACAATTTATAATTCTTACCTCTCAAAACTTATTTCCCCGTCGCCCCACCAGTGATGATTTTACTCGTTTCCTTAATTACTTGGTGTGCATGACTATTATTATAGATGGTATCGATACTAGCCAGTGACTCATGTTTACGTAAAGTACTAATGGTCCAGGGGGCTGTGACCATAATGAGTTGGAAGTGGTTTTTCTCGGAAGAACTAGTTTATTATCCGTAGAAAATTAACATTGGAACGTAAATGTATATTATAATGATGCTATTTTCGTCAGTTCAACGTCATCACATCAGATCTAGCTGTTTTGAACATTTCATATGACGTCAACTTGTATAGACATATATATAGATGTATACATCCACTTAAATTCATAACAAATATTTTACAGTACTGGATTAAATGCATATATTTAAAAAAAACCAATACAGATAATTAATCATAAATGATAATATTCATGCAATTTTGTTTAAATTATTGCTTAAAGATTAATTATACTTATATGTTGGTAACTATAATGGACATGAAATATTTCAAATCAATCAAACAGAAAACCAATTAATATTTGTGTTTGACAATTACCGAATCATACATATAAAAAAATAAATTATAAATAACATTCTCTTTTGTATCAAACATTTTTAGATATGCAGATATGCAGCATGAATTAATAACCTTAGAAACTAGATAACGAAATATTATCGGCTATTTGATATATAAAAACACCGTGAGTTAGAGTGGTTGTTCAATCAACCCATGTCTATCAGAGATCACGGTGACAGCCACAATATATATGTCCTGCCATTTTTTAAAAATGAAAATATATTATGTATAATATATATATATATATATATATGTGAGTTATATCATGTTAAACTCATATTAATAATATAAACAATAATAATAAAAAAAAAAAAAAACAATTATTCAAAATATTTTATGAAAAATACAGGTGTATAGGCTATTGAAATAATATAAAATATAATATTTATATAGTATAAATAATATAAAAATATATTAGGGTAAATGAAAATAGCTACAGCACAATTGGGCATTTTATCTCAAATTGCGATACGTTTGGGTACTCTATGTCCTTAAAAAGATACCACGTTTTGGCACTAACATGTAAAATGTTTAAAAAGTTTCTAAAATATGTACATACATGTATAATATATATATATCAAAATCATATAGGTAACATATATAGGTAAGTATATACCTCTAATCCAGTGCGATGGTAGTGGCGTAAAGCTAAATAAAAAAAAAAGTGGAGCGGTCACTATGTGTAGTACATTATACAAGCACGATAATAATAACCGCATTCGGGATTTCCTACGATAATAAATATTATAGTAGAAAACGATAAAATGTATTTTATAACACTTTATAGCTAATTTATTATTTATTTTATTTATACTTATACTATTTTGATTATTTTGAAAAATAAAAAGTAACTTACACTTTATAAAACTTGTTACCTATATTATTTTGATATATGTATATTATGCATGTATGTACATATTTTATATACTTTTTAAACAAAGGTACATACATACATTTTACATTTAAGTTCCCAAACGTGTAGATTTTGAATACTAAATAGGTAAAAATGCCCAAACGTATTGCACGGATAAAAATAACTTCAGACTGTCAACGCGTATTTAAGAAAATATGAGATCTTGAGTATTTTATAAACGAAAACATTTTGATTTATAATAACACAATTCTTTAATATTTTTCTGAAATTAATATGTACTTGTAATGGCCATTAATAGATTATTATAAGCTCAAATTGTCTAATGATTTTATTAAATACTTTAAAGCTTAAGGTATACATCTTATTGGAGTGATGTAGAAGACAGTGTTGATTTTGTAAGTGATGGGATATAAGAGGGAGAATCAGTGCCGTAACTAAAATTCTCGAGGCTTGTATGCAAATAAAATCTAGAGGCCCTTTATCATTACAAATTTTTCAATAGCAACTATAAAAATTAATTTTTTAAAAGGTGAGAGATTTTTTAAATTTAAAAGTTTGAATAAAATAGAATACTAAATACCTAAGCAAATATGATTGTTTATTATTGAAATAAATAATTTTCTTTAAACTATTATATAAAAGGAGTATTAAAAAAATTAATATACTTATACACTACTTTAGTAGTTCTCAAACAGTGAGGCACGGCATCCTCGAGAGGCGCAAGGCAAATTTTTATATTCTATATTGTACTACTATATATTTATTTTTCAATCGACAATAATTTACTTATATTTATATAATAAAAAACGTTTTTTTGGAAGGCGAGATTAATTTTTTTTTTTTTTCTAGGGATACGTGACCCAAAAAAGTTTGGGAATCGCATATAATGTATAATACTTAGAGTATGTTATTTTTCAAAAAATACTAATTTACTAGAATATATAATCATTAAAAATATGTTATACAAAATAAAATAAATAAATATTATACTTATTTTTAAAACTACTAGTACACATAATTTTCATATTATTTTTTTTTTTTATAACATTTACATGATTTAAACATGAGAATATAATGCAGTAACCTAGAAAAATTCGGGGAAAAGGGTATTGATTGGTATCATCATTTGCTGAGCCAAGTCTAAACTAAAATTTTTTGTTGAGTATGTTAAAGCTAAGTTAGCACAGATAATCAGAAATACTAGAAATCAAAAACGTAATTTCCAAAATTATCCAAACAACTAAAAGTGGATGTTAGAAGACCATTACGGTCAAGGATAATATCATAGTACATAGAATATGGCCATACATTAGTGTATTATTAAAAGATTTGGTCCTCAAAGGATCAAGTCCACTGGTTAATCTATTCATATGTGGTGATCAAAGCATGAATCAAACGATTTCATGATATTTTTCCAGCTTTTCTTTTCTATATTCAAACGATCGTTATTTTTTTTTTAAGAAATTAAGATAAAATTTTTCATCATCAACAAGTAAGAAATTTATAAGAGATTTTGAATGTAAATTTCATAATATTTTCCAAAATAATTTTTTTTTTGATATTTTACGAAAAAAATCCATAAAAACATGAAACTTTCTATTATTTAAAAAACAATTCAAAAGTCAAATACTTTTGAAAATCATATTATCTGTAGCGAACGGTGATATAAAAATTCAGCGAATGTTTCAAGTCTATGTCTCTAAAATTTAAATTTTTTGAGCTGTAATAAAAAATAAAATCGATTTTGTCGAAAATCGTTGTGCGGTAAATTTTGTCGTTTTTTCTTTATTTTTCATGAATTTTTTGTAATTTTTAAGAAAATTATCAGAAATGTCTCACCATTACTCATAATGATTATTAAATATAACCTGTTAATCTAGAACGTCTGTACAGACATAATAAATAAAAAAAAACCACGTATTCTGGTAAAACAAGTACATTCCTTGTTTACTTAGAATCTGAAATTTCAGGTAAATCTATTATACTTCATTTCCTATGAGTAATATTTTAGAAATGTTTGCCTTATTAAAATATATATTAAAATTGGGTTTATTCTAAACGTACCATCACGTATAGGCAATTTTTTTTATTTAAATACATATAATCAACTGTGTCTTATTTTCAAAATGTGAATGTGGTAATTTTATTTCATTATTAAAATTATTTAAAAAAATATAGTAATTTTATAACTTCTCTTCAATCAAATATTAGTATTTTTATCTTAATTTATAATCACCAATATCGTTTTAAAATGTTATTAATTTTTAAATTTGAAATTGTAATGTAATAATGATAAACTATAAATATATTAAATTTATGAAGTGTTCAAATAAACATTTTGATTTTCAAAAATAATATTTTAATATCAAACAGTTCAAACTCATTATTAGTTTTTAAAACAAGATGGTGAAAAAGAAGCTGAAAAACAAGTAACAAGTATTAAATACGGTTACATTTCAAAGGTGACCTTGTCTTAAAAATATATGTGTATAAGTAGGTACCGGTTTATGTCTTGTAGCAGAAATATGATTTTCTAGACCTTGAAATAATAATTAAAATTATAGTATTCTTCGTGTAATTACTACAATACAGAAATATAGCCCAAATATCTAATTATTTAAAACAAAATACTAATATTATTATATTTGTCTATTATTGATAAGTTGCAATACAATTAAATTTTTTTTTACGACATTTTATAATAAATTCTTATATTTTGCGATTATATGGTTATGCATTTGTATATATATATATATATTCAAAATTGTCCTTATTGATTAACGATCGTAAGTTCATGTACAATATGTTTTCCCATAGAAAATTTAATAATTTATAAGTTATTAGTTATACTTCTGATATGTCACTTAAAAATCACTTGAATAGATCATAGATAATTTATTGGTACCTTCATTAATATAATCACTGACACAATTTGTGTGTTTTACATACTATATTAAAAATAATAATGATTCCCCTTATTGCAAATAATTGTTATTTATAAGCAGTGGTGTTTCCATAGGGTACACTACATATACGCCGTATACTTTCAACATTATTTTGAAAATTCACGGGTATATTGCATATACTTTCAGATCTCAAGCATTTCCCGAAGAAGTATTAAATGTTATTAGTTTTTTCAAGTTTTAATTTTGGCCTTATTTTATAATAGATATTCAGTTTTCCCTCAGACGAATAATATATTACTATGAAGTCATTATTGACGGCATACAATGTATTTACAATGGTATCAATTTATTTAAATAATTTTAATTTATATTTCTGTGAAAAATAAGAATCTCAAGTTTTTGTTAATATTTACAACCCTATTTCCACAATCACCATCACTAAAAAATATTCATATTCAAACATTCGTTGGAATAGTATACTCTCAACAAAATTGATAGGAACATCACTGTTTATAAGCTGAAATAGCATTATGGAAAAAAATTACAGTAAAATATTATGTTTATACAATTGAAATATTATTTTCTTGTTATAATTAATTATTAATAATATGAAGGAAACATTGACTAACATTATAAATTATAATAAAACACTATAATTTAATATTAAATTAGTGTTTAATAGACTTATGAGAACTCATCATATACTAACGCAATGAAAATATAATTTTACCTATTTTCAGATTTTCAGAAATAATTTAATTAATAACTGTTTAATGACTGTAGAGTCGTACGAGGTATACATACAATGCATATCATATGCATTGTAACAGAATAATTAAATTTTTTTTTTTTGGTTTATTATAAAATACATTATTTTATAATATTATCAAAACTTACCAAAAGAATATTACTACATTGTATTATTGATTTCTTAAATTTAATATGGTAATTTAAAAAAAATTAATTATTCAATTATTTTTATCGTTCATTTATAATTCAGATATATTGGCGAATAAGAGTTTTCAAAAAAATCTATTCAGAATTCATTACTTAATATATTAACTGTTCCAATTATTTTAGATTTTTTAGATGTATCAGTATAGTCGAAAATATTACCATCCTAAAATAATACAAACACATTACATTGACATTACACTAACTAAAAAAAAATTTGCTATCAGAAGCAAAAAAAAGCGTTAGTGGTCGGAGCAATATTTCTGGTCGAAAATCTTGTTAACAGGTATAAAAAATAAAAAAAAATAAGGAAAAAATACATTATATAAAACCAATATTCACCTCACTCCAATTATAAAGTAATTAATGGGTGTACTAATTAAAATTATAATAAGTAGTTATTAACCAATTTTACGCGTGATAATAGTATTTTAAAAATACGCACCAATTTTTTGATATAATAGATATTATGTCAGTTGTTAATATATCTTAGTAAAAAAAAATTCTTCTTGTTTTATCACCTTATATTTAATTGATGCCATTGTTACAATTATTGAACTTGCACGTTTCCTCCTATTTATTCCATTCAAATTATCTGTTAATTTAATACCAAATTTATTTTGGTATCATTAAAATACAAAGGAATTAAAATGGATGAAAAAAAAATATTTGTAGTACAACCATTCAAGGTAATAATAATAAGAATAATTACATTATATAATATCTCTTCCATGTACATTTATATACCAGTTTCACAAGGTAAATGATAATTTTCTTTGTCATTTGTATTTTCTGAAATAAGAAAAAGTCTAATATTTTAATATTTTTAATCACCGAACACTTGCTATTAAAATGTGATCTAATGGTGCCTGTATTATATATTCCATCGTAAAGGATGAACAAATGATGGATTACCTCCATAAATCTAATCGATAATTTTATCGTTTCTCCTTAATCTTATCAATAACTATTAATTTATTAATTTGTATCTAAATCAGTGGCGTACGCAGGAGGGATGATCAGGGATATATCCTCCCCATGTGCTTTTTTTTTTTTTTTTTAGTTTCAAACGTTTAAAAACGTATTTAAGAAATGCAGTCACGGTTAAATGAATTGCGTTAATGAATATACAGAACAAATTATTGATCAATTTAGTGTAAAAGCCAGAAGGATGAATTTACACCTTGATTGAATTTTGTTTGTAAAATAATAAAGAAAAAAAATTGAAAATAATTCATTTTTATGTATGAAATCCCCCCCCCTTAACCAAATTCATGCGCACGCCACTGTTCAAATTTTTTAGTTCTTAACAAAAACCCATTTTCAATTAATCATATGAAATTGTCTCATGTCATATTTATAATTGATTTGAGAGAGAATATAGGAAATATAAGATTTGCTAATTTATTTATTTGTTAATAATTTAACCAATATCTTACCAATTTTTCCTACTTATTTGAAAAAAAAAAATCGAGAATATTGTTTTATGATTATAGTACATAACAAAAAAGTACAAATAATAAAAAAAAAAAAAAAAAAAAAAAAAAAAAAAAAAAAAAAAAAAAAAAATAAAAGAAATAATAAATATAAAAATAAAGTATAAAATTTCTAAGTATTTTATGTATTAGAAAAACTTGGTGTAAATTGAGTAAAAACGAGTGTTTCTTGGATCATCAACACAGTTGGACATATAAAACTAATTGGATCTTTTTAATAATAATATTAAGAAGACTAATTTCATATAACTACGGTAGTAACGATTAATTTTTAAAATCTGAGAAATATAAGCAACGCTTTAATTATTAATCGTACTACCTCCTTAATCGTATTAATCATTTCATATTAGTAAAAATAAATCAACACTATCCTATGAAATCTATGAAATATGCATAAATATGCACATTCACAATTTACATTTAAAATCAAGATATTGATAAATGAATATATTTTGTACACTACTATATTTTACAATAAATAACAATAGTATGCAAATGCTATAAATCTCGAACTCTACAATGAAACAATACAATAAAATATAATACAACATAACATTAATTAATCACATCTAACAAATTACATTATTGTATATATATTCCATATTATGAATTTCATATTTTCATGTGTTTTTTCTATTTATTATATCACTGTAGTAACTGCTCTCATCTGATTTTGGCTATTAATTTGTCCCATGGATACAATTTTTAATAAAAAATACACATAGTTTTCTAAGTAGTAAACACCTTCAAGAAATCTCCTGTATACTTTAAAAAATGTATTGATAGATTTATCTTTTAGTTATTTTAAGCCAATTGTAAATGCCTTTTGTTGGACTAAGTAAAATACACGCATTTGCAAATCATTTTATCTGAATACATTTAATATACCTACGAATTTTAATGAAACTCATTAATTTTAAATGTTGTTAAATTTTTTTTAATCAGAAACCATTGGTAATTTATTTGAAGTAGGTAATTAAAATACAAGTTTAAAAATTATTCATATTACAAACACGATAAAATTAAATTACAAATTTTATTAATACACCAAATCTCTAATTCTCATAGACAAAAATATATTCTTGAAAATATGTATACATTATTCAGTACTATATTTCAAAATAATTTGTTTTATTGATTATGCTTAAATATTATGAATGATCACTTAAAAAATATTAAACTAATTTTATATTTTTCTTAATCTAAATAAATAACCTTTATTATTTCTTTTACTTAAATAGTAAAGTGCTATAATTTGATATATTTATATTCATTTTTAATTTTTTTTTTATTTTAACTTCTATAAAAAATTACTACTTTGATAATTACCCAAAAAAAAAAAAAAAAAATGTTTGGTTTTCAAATTATGATTTAAGTAATTTAAAAAACTATATCATCAAATTAATATTGTTTAAAAGATTTTTGTAAAAAATTAACGAATTTAAAAGATTAATTTGTTGTGGAAGTGTTTTTATTTCGTACTTTTCCAATATATGTCAAAGTTATTCGAGAAAGGTTAGGTACTAACTACTCGTATATACAGTTATAAATAATTTATCAAATTATTTATGAGTAAATAAGTGTAGGAAATGGGGATGATTCTGGTTAAATTTTAATCGGATCTATATGAATAATTCTTATTAGGTGTAAAAACTCAACTTTTGTTTGCGAGTTGTATTCGATTATTTATTTTTATATAAATATTTTTTTAAAATTACAAAAATATTGATATTAATCACTTCACTTTTACATTGATCTCTGACAGTACTCCGTTCAGGCAAGATTAAGTAGAGGAACTCAATATAATTTAAAAATTGCATTTCAAAAGCAAAACAACCCCTCACCTACAAAGCTATACTGGCCTATGTTGTAAGTACGAAATTTCACATTGATCTTAATCGTATAGGCCTTCTCTAAATATCAAAAATGTTTAAAATGAAGGTCTTTTAAAATAAAGTGTATGATAGACCTATTCGAGCCAGTCTGATACTGCAGTCATCTCCATATAACCTGAATTTTGAATATTTCAGTTGTATATATTTATAGTATCCATATAGACCTTATACTTATATAAATAAATTCTAAGGAAAATCATACAAATTTAAAAAAAAAATTTTAAATCGTAAAATAAGACATAAACAATCATAAAAAATAATAAAAAAAATAGTAAAATTCATTATATAGTTGATATCGATTTAACTTCGTCTTAAAACAAAAATATTTTCGGGCATTAGTTCGTAGCGACCCCCGTCAAAGTAAAAATAATATGGTTGAGATACGCTATAAAAAAATAGTAAGGGAATTTTTTTTTTCATTTTGTGGAAAAAGTTTATAATCAACTCTGAATTTTTCTCGTTTCTTAATTATTAGATTCCAAAGAATTTTTATAAATAACTCGTTTGTAATCAAAATTGTGAATATTATACCAAGCCATACACTAAAATATAAGTTACAATGTCACAAAAAACTAATGTTGTAAAAAATTTACTTAATATTTATTTATTCTAAAATTCTTCTCACTCAAAGAGTTATTTAATACAACATTAATCATAATATATTTAAAAATATTCTTATTAAAGATTAATGACGGGCTTTATGCATGTATATTATTAAATCTACAGTAAATATAAATATTAAACCTTAATCAATGAATAAAAACTAAAAACAGAAGTAAATTATGATTGTATTAATTTATTTAATAAAATGAAAAATGAAAAATATGAATTACCCAAAATAAGAAATAACTTACAAGTAAATCAAAAAATGTTAGGTATCGAAAATAAATTATTCATGATAAGTAGGTACATAAAAAAAAATAACAAAAACAATTAGGTACACACATTTTTAAAATATCTAAAATCAAGCTATGTTTTAAGTACATTTTCGATTACTATAAAAAACTTAAAATAGGCGTATTAAAAATATGGACCAATAAAATCAAATTAAAAAAATTTATTTTTTTCTCATAGCTGTTCCGTTGATTTGCTTCTGTAAAGATGCTTTATCATTTTCATCATCCTCAGTCATATATTTTTTCAAATGTACATTATTTGGATCGAACTTTTGCACAAGCATCTTCCAATATTCTGGTTTGTACTGTAGTAAATGAGCCAATACTTTGCCTGCTTGTTTTCTTTGTTGTTCGCTACATTTAGCACATTCTGTTTGTATAGCATCCGGAACAATTCCTAAAAATGTTACCAAAGTAATATATAAATGTATTATATGTATATATATATATGTTACGGGTAATGTTAACATTTGGATAATGTTGACATTATGCGGCTAATATCAACATTAGCCATCTGTTATGGCTAATGTGTAATTTTTTGTTTATAAGCAGGAATTATTAACATTATCCGGATAATATTAACCTTAAACAGTCAATATTGGATAATGTTAAAAGTTGTATATTAAATAGACTATAGAGTTTTTATTAGCATTCTATACAATAATAAAGCGTCGGACTTTCAGAGTATAATATTTTATCTTGACTTGTAACCGAGTTAGTCAGTTATCTTACCGATAAAGTGAACAATATATCGGTATATCGATGTATAAATGCAAATCATCTAGCATTTTGTGTAATTCAAAATGTCACGGAAGCATGCATATAATAATAAAGGTTAAAAACATTAGCATTTTAATTCTATAGGTACTTAAAATAATATTTTAAGAAATAATTTATAATATAAAATTTAATTCAATATTGTATCATTAGTAGGTTAGATTATTAAAAATATAAAGTAAAGTCATATTAATAATATTATGTATTTTATGGTAATTACTAATTTATTAAATATATTTAACATTGTTAATGATTTACAATAATTTTATTTCATGTACGTTAAATTTTTATGGTTGTTAAGAAATTATCCAAAAATTTTTGGCTAATATCATATTATCCGGTTGATGTTAACATTAGCCAAGATTTAATAATATTCATGGCGGGTATTGATAACAGTTGGCTAATGTTGACTTTAGCCGGATAATGTCGAGATTATCCAAATGTTAACCTTACTCGTAACATATATATATATATATATTAATTATATTAATAAACAACAATTGATTGTGTTAACAAATTTAAAAAAAAATATTTTGTAAACATAACAAATAAATATATTTTCAGGTTAGTAAATAAGATTATCACGTTCAATTTAGTAGTGATTATTACTGTATTTTAACATTTCGTTGAGGAATTACAAGTTAAAAATTATTAGTATTTTATTTGAATGATGTTTTATTAGAATGGTAAGCAAATCAATAATTAAAAATTAAGAAATTACCAAAAAAATGCTCGACTGACGTTTAAAAAATTGTATTATTGTATAATTAATATTGTTGAGTTTTTTAAAACTGTTTAAATAAATCATACCAAATCTCAATTCTGGCTATTTAAAAGTATAATTTAATTTCTAACTAAAACATTATATAATTTATCAAATTATGGAAAATTTTTTACTTAAAAATATTTTATCATGACGTTTTAAACATCACAAATCAAAAATTTCAAAATATTATAAATCTGTCTGATTTGTTAAATATATCATAATTTAATTTTCTTTTTAAATAATTTATTTTATTCATATTTTCATTGATAATTTAACAATCTTACGGCACATTGATTAACTAAAATATATGTAGCCGATTCTGCATAAATTTAAATGATTACTAGATTTAATGATATTATTTACGTAACTATTATACAATGAAAATGTGTTTATTTATTAAAGTATATGGTACTTATATTATTAATTATTTAAAATATATTTTATTCTTTTTTAAAAAACAATATTTTATTTATTATAATGTAATTAATTATAATACATAAGTGCATGATTGATAGTTGTACTTAAATTAAATTATTTTTTCATTCAAGATCATTTATTGAAATTATGTTTAAAATGTAGGCTATACTCGAGGCACCAAAAATATTAATAAAAATCGTGTTATAATTTAAAACATTTCAAGAACTAAAGAAGTCTTATAAAGATATCTGTTTTAAAAATGAATATTAAATACATAATGTAATGTTATTTAATTCTTTGATTTCAATTATGTTTTCTTTAATTTTAAATTTATTTTAATCATATGATTGTATTTCATATTCGTTAATTATATTATAATTTCATTAATATACATTTATAAATACTTTGGCAACAAAAATGTTAAAGCAGTAACCATAAGTTGTGATTTTATGTATAAATTTGACATAAACTAGTATTAAAAATAAATTATCATACCGAAAACATAATAGTCAACTTAAGTTAAATTACGTTATCATGAAATTAAATAAAAATACATTTCTCTATATAGTTGAACATAAATATACTAAATGTAGAATGATTTTAATTTTATAATTTATGGTGTACTTATTACATGAAAATATACTATTACGTATTAAAATTATAATTTATGAATGTATTTAATCTATAAGTGAAAAATATTATTGCCTAAAATTAAATCTATATTATATTCTTCAAAATTGTTTATTTAATTAATTCTATTAAAAATTAAAAATACCCATACTTATTTTGAATCAATGTAATTGAACATTTAATAATTTGTAGCCAGTAAAGCACATATCAACTGTAAGCTCAATTACTTCCATTACTTAAGTTTACAAAGACAAAAAAAAATATAATATACTTTATTTTTTGCAAATTGTCAACCATTAAATGTCTATAAATAATTTTTTATAGTTAAAATAACTGCATGTACCACGTATGATTTTTTTTTAGTAAGTAGGTACATGGATATATAATAAGATCTTAGAAATATATGCTGAGAAATTATGTATTTTTAATAATCTATGTAAAAATAAAAAAACAAAAAGTAAAATTAATTAGGAAAACAGGTATTTGCTATTTGATTATTTAGTTTACTATGTATAAAGCGAGATATTCAATATACTTATTTACTGTATAAATCTTCTCATCAAATTGTTTTTCTTTTAAATTTGTATGCAACTTTAATTTACAAGTACCTACCTTATTATTAGGGATGGGTCGGTTACAGATCTTGTAAAACCCATTATTAATTGTTCCTATGGTATAACTAATCATCAATACCGATTATTATTTTATAAATATTTATCAGTACCAATTCTTCAAGTATAAATATTTGGGAGTAGATACCAATTCTTTTTATGCAATTGTTTTTGGTTGTTGGGTTCACATTGATATTTTTTTTACTTTAATTAAATATTTCAATTCGAAATCCATTATTATTATAATTATCCTAAAATATATGCAATATTTTATTCTTTCTGGATTTAACTGTTAGTAGTTTCTGTTTTATGAACCAAAAAAAGTTTAAAATCTAATATTTATAACCAAATCATACCGAAACCTATTTTGAAATACTATCTAAATCAAGAAAAATTAATAAATATATATACCATATTTCAATAGCTATTAATGCTTAGATCATAAACTAAATTAAACTGGAAACTATAACAGATTGTTTTTGTTATATTTAATTATAGAGTTGAATGCTTAGTTTATGAAAGTTAATAGTAAATTTTTATAGGATGAAAATAAAATATAATGAATTTTAAGAAAAATTACAATTAATACATACTAAGCCACATCTCACAATCGCTACACGTTTTCTGGTTTTATATAATTATAAAAAATAATCTGTCGTTTCGAAGAAGAGAGGCTAAGTCCCTAGCAGTTCTCCATTATGACACTGTGTATTAATATGGAAATCAAAATATAATTGAATGAGATAATATTTAATTACCTAATATTACTTATTAATTATTATAATAATAATTTTAACTTGGTAGTGCAATTAAAATGTAACTTTTACATATCATTTTCCGTAATTGCATGGCTATAATGTTTTTAACAATATAAAAATAAAAATAAAAATACATATAATTGCAATAACTTGTTTTTAATAATTAAAATAACTTTAAACAATAAGTACAAAACTACAACTATGAGCTATGTAACTAAAGTAAATGTATTTTTAATTTTGACATATTTTGTGGTTTAACGAAGCTAATTTGAAAACTTAAATGAGTGTTGACACAGACATATTTTCCAAATAAATATCTAAAATGTATTGAAGTAGATAATTAAGACGAAAAGTAACTATAACTCTGAGTCATTATATTATTATAACTTGTATTAAATATTTTTCGAGGTAGAACCTAACTAATTTGGCAACTACCTAGTTGCTTTTAGAATGGAATTTTAATAATATTCAAATAAATAACATTTTAAATATTAACACCGGAAATTAAATTATTAAATTTATAATTAATCTAATTGATTTAAGAAATCATTTACTCATAATTTTTAAATTTTCTTATAGTTATACTTATAGTTTTTTTAAACTTATTCACATAACACCAGCAATTGTCTTATGAGTATTTTAGGGACATGTTAGTCTTAATCAATATTTATTTTCTTAATTACTAATTTCTTAATATTTAATATTTATTTAATTATATCATTATATATATACATTACTTTTATTTTGTTAACATAAAATTAAACCGCCTAGAATGATTTCATAAATTATAGGATTAGTCATAGGTTATCATAGTTCGTAATAACTAACTAATCCTGCAAGTATTTGTTTGCACGTGGCAATTAGATATATTTACCGTTGACCATTTTTGTAGTTAAAAATTGAACATTGTGAAATTTATTAGCCAATTCAACTATTTCAAATATTAGTTTTTGTATGGTCTTATGAACTTATAGATTACTAGTTAAAACCAGGAAGTCGACAATTATTATTTGCGAAATGTTATTGTGTTTGAATAGCTTTGATTTTCCTTATTTGTTTGATAACCCTAATATAAAAACAATTAGATATTATATTATTAAAAATTATATTTATGATATATAAACATGTGTCAGCTTTTTTTTAAATTATAATATTTTAAGATTTAGAATTGGTACGACCTTTTCAAACGTGTTAGAAACGTGTTTGTATTTACTACTTATTCAGGTGACCTTCCAAAAAATGACCTACCTTACTAATAAGCATCCGCCTATAATCATCATGTAAAGAATGCCTATTTTTATAATCGTATTGAGAACATGTACCTTAAATTTATATATTTCTTAAAAATACACCAATTAAACAAACAATATATTCTTTGTATCCTAAAAACGTATAATAAGCGTTTTATAAATCAATAAATTAAAAAATAGTTCTTACAATCAATTTAAAATCAAAGATATAAAATATACCTACTTCATTTATGACTTACAAGTATTTAGGCATTTAACTTTTCAAATCGCTCATTTCAGTATGATCTATTATTATATTGTATTATTATGGATTAAAATAAACAATAATAAATTATCTCACTCAAAAACAACTTTGAATTGGTATTAGGATTATTATATTATTTATTTTATAAGATGTTTTTAAACTTATATTTCTTCTATAGTGAACTAATTATATCTTGGATAATAATAATGTACATGATTTAGGACTCAAATTTTCGAAATTTAAATTTAAAATATTTTAAAAACAAAAAAAGAAATACTTTTTTTTTTTCAATTTTCAGCATGTTTCTTATAACACAAATCATAATATATATTAAGTGTAATTTGAATATATATTTTAATAATATACTTGGAAGAAATATTATATATATATATCTTAGTAAGCACTTAGTGCGTTTGATAAGTACAGATTAAAATATATTAAAAACGATTTCAAACATATATTATCACTTGCTGACTTAGGACAATTATTAGAGATGGGTTATTTAATAAATCGACATCAGTTTTATGAATAAATTCGCAGTTCTTTGATCGTGGACCATTTGGTTTGGTAATTAATCCAGTGTTATTTTTTTTGTTAAATACTTAGATGGTTAAGTATTGTTCAACATTAATAGAACAAATACAATTAACAAATATTTAATAGTCTTCAATATGAAATAATACCTTATATTTTATATATTAATCATAAAAAATGTATTCAAATATTTCTCAAATATGTATTATATATATAAATATAAGATAACTAACAACCTTCAATCTATATTAAGCAAAATAAAAAAATACATTATTCAATAATCTATGTAATCTATGTCTCGGCTCAATGAGTAATAATTATTAGCTGTGTCACTTTTGTAACTGTAAATAAATACAAAATATTCAAAGTATCAAATGAAGAATTTCTAGAATACAAACCCCTAGTCGATGATAAACAGTGTAACTAGAAAATAGCTATAGATGGTAGCAATATCATGTGGAATAGTATTAAAGTAATAACTGTGACTTTTGAAAATCCTTTGAACTCAACATCAAATATGATTTAAGTGTTTCATGTATTATCAAAATAAATTCAAAATACAAGAAAAAGTAAAGAGGAAGAAATCAGCCACGTATACAACCAATAAAAGTTTATAATGGAAAATTATAGAAAAATCTAAATTTGCGGGTTTATTATCGCTATGCTCAATGGGGCTCATTTTATCAACATATCATGACTTCTAAAAATCTCTGGAATCAAAGAAATATTATTTTTTTGATGATTTACTGTTTTATTTATATAGGATTACTTTTTTTAACTATTTTTTATTAATCTATTAAAAGTTATGTCCTATTATTTTTATTAATCTACTTTAAATATATTAAATTATAAGTTGAATTTATTAGTTTATGTTATTAATCTACTAAAGGACATAACCTTGTAATTTTATTATTATTGTTACATTAATTTTTATTTTGTTATTAGAATTGTTTTTAAATTAATATATGTCAAAAAGTATTAAGTAAAAAGATTACAAGTGAAGTATTAAGTTTATTAAAAAGTATACACGAATTTTATTTATTTTATTGTTTTCATTATTCCCGACAAAAATAGTTTTAACAAACAAGTTACTATAGTATTTATTTAAGGCAGCAACTATCGATCAAAATCATATGTATAGATACTATTATTTTAGCTATAGCTACCTACGAAAATGATCGTATGTACTTTTTTTTTCAAGGTAGTTCTCTTAATAACCTGTACGTAATGATTTTTATTAAAATTAAACTTTAATATGAAAAATGGGTTACTTCGTCTTATAAATGACCATATTTACGGAAATGTATGTTAAAAAATAGGATAAGAGTATAAACTTAAATGTTTATTTGATTCATCCTGAAAAGTTGAAAAAATGAGATACTACCTTTTTTGTTGGGACAGTCGATTTAAACTATTTATACTGGTTAAGCTAAATGTTTAATAATTAATAAAAAAAAATAAACAATAAAAAACGAATGTTTTATTAAAAAGACCATATGTGATTTTAAAAAGACTTAATAATAAACTTGAAATAAATAATAATTTGACCACTTTGATAATTTTAAGGACTGTTTATATACTCCTTGTAAATAAGTTGTTTTTTTGTAATTTATCATGGTGGTTTATTCATTGTAAAAAAGTCTCTTATCTTTAATCACTAACCTAAGTAAAGAATTTTTAATTACAATTAACGTTTCAAATATATGAATTAATTTGTTTATAGTGCAATTTAAAATCATCCAAAGGGTTTATTTCCATATTTTTTTAGCTATAAATATATATTTTAAATACTAGGATAACTTGTAAAATATAATTGAATATTTTTAATTACTGTTTCCCCATCATAATGTGTTCGAATCCAAAACCTACTCTGAAAATACCATTTATTTTTGAATATAGGTACTCATTCTAAAGGCTAAAAAAATTTTTTAACGTCAGCATGATTATTGTTATTGTTATTTTAGGTATTGGAAGGTATAAAGAAATACGTATAGTCACGGTCATTTATTATATTCTTACTTTTGAGTTCCAATCCTTCTCTGGTACATGGTCCTCGGTTCATCACACAGTTGAAGAGAACTTTGATTATCCTTTCATTACTCATAACAGCATCCACGTCTATATAATCATACCGAGTTGGGTATGTCGATGTTTCCCTAATGGATTTACGTCCATCGTTGGTAACAGACTTATTTTGGTTCGCATTGGACAGTCTTTGTGCGTTCACAGTCGGTAGCACAGCCGGAGTGTCACACATTACAGTAACATAACAGAAAATGGTAAACAAATTCATGTGTACTATACGAACATTAAAATTGTCTGCGTCAAAACCAAATGGAAATAGCCAAAAAAAACAAAAAAAAAAAAACTACAACAATTATAATTACTAATATTTATCGTCGGATTGCTATTTTTTCCTGATGGAAATAACTCCGTACACTTAACTAGTGTACTGACGTACAACTGCTTAAGGTGGAATTTAACACAGAAATAACGGATTCGACCGGCGTGGAACAGTTGAACTGATTAACACTTAAGGACGTCTGTTGTCGGCAGAACGCGAGACGGAAACGTAAAAACGCAAAATAAAAAAACGTGCTCATCTCAAGGGCAACGTCATTCTGCACAAACACGCACACTGCGGATTGCTATCGATTTGCTATTTTTAATTTCACCCGTTCATCTCCCGTAATAATTATTTCAATTTCTACGTTTTGTGTCTCATCGATTGCAAACCATATGCAAAAAAAAAAACACAAAAATAAGCTGTATATTTCAAAAGGGCAATGTCAATATAGTGATAGAAAAATATGAAATTCCGTAAAAGTGAATATTATAATATATATGTTACGTTATTGGAAACCTTGAAGCACAACCCATACGGCAGTTAACCTAGGTTTCTGTTTGGTTGATTTCTATACTCATCTTACGTAATAGTTTTATTTATTTTTGCATGTATAATTTACAAGATACTTATTAGGGACATTTGATTATACTACATTGTACATCCAGTATTTAAAATAAATTTAATTTATAAATTTTTTTTATTTTAGTTTACTCCAACGATTTAAATGTTATAACAACAGAATTTTTACTATAAATCGCTTATTTTTCCAAACTTAACAAAATTATAGAATATAGTACATTGAGTTTGAACTGATAATTGGTTGAATACCATTTTTTTTTTTTTAAACAAGTGAATACATTTTGTAGTATCAAAAGTCCTAAAATTTAAAATTGTTTGTATAAATTAATAAAAAATATAAAATTTTAAACTGTATAAATGCTAATAATTATATTCATAGTAATAACACTTATATTGTTTTAATCTATTCTTATGTACAGTATTAAAAATCGAATAAAATTGATAAAATTCTCAACAAATGAAGAATACACGTTAAGTATCTAAACGAGTTAAGAGTTAACAAATAAGTACTTTATGAATATAAAAATGTTAAATTTAAATAATTTGTATAGTATTTTACCTGTTTAATTTATTATTCTCCATCGCTATTTTCATTAACACTTGGACAACTAGTTTTATTCAATTTATTCCTTAGTCTTCCTTGATGTATCCAATATCTCAAATTACCTGCTAATATCCTTGTTTTATTTTATACCTAAAGTATTTGAATCAATGTTTGCGAATAAAGTTGTATCTAATTTAAATAATATGATCGTTGAAGATGAGCATGGTTTTCGACGAAATAAAGAACGATCAGTAATTTATTTAACTTTTAAAATATTGTATCTGACACCTTTTTGCGATCAACATTCGATCAATGTTGATGTCATATACACCATTTTAGTGAGACATCCGATAAAAAATCATGGATGCAACTTTGATATGATGTGCAAAAATCGCAACTCAGATATCACAATATATATTTTCGTATTTTGGGACGCAATTTGTATGCAGTCAAATAAATGTATAAGAATATAGAAAAAATATAGTTATTAAGTTAAACGGAGTTTATAAAATATAAAGTGTTATTATGACTACCCTACCAGTAATATCTGCGTACGCTTATGAATATATATATCATTCGATAAAAAATATTGATATTGGTAACTCTTTTATATCCTGGGTTATCTCTTTTACTGAAGATCATTATAAAATTGTAGCTTAAAAGAAAATTGGTTCTTTTCATTACAAGTTACACTAAGAGTTCCTCGAAGATACCATTTAGTTATTTTATAGTTATTAATTCTTATTTTTATTAATGACATCAATTTTTAAAAATGCAGTAAATTTATGTTTGCAGATGATATAATAATATTGCGTACAATTAATAATTGACTGATAATCAAGTTGAAGTAAATTTACTTCAATTTGATTTAAATATTCATTATGAATGGTGTTTTAACAATAATTTCACTCCTAATATTAATAAATGGCAGATAATTACTTTTTCCAAAACTTTTATATATGTATATATTCGTGACGGTCCAAAGTCCAATGTAATGACACCTCCTCTCCGTCGTTGCCGATGTTGTCGTAGTGTGACGGCGGCGACACTCATCAGTAGTAAATGTAGCCGAAAATAATCATATAATAATACGTTTTTGATTCGTAATTTTTGATTTCTCAATTTTGGTAATATAAGTTCTTCTGGTCACACGAACAACATCTAGACGATAGTCAATCTCATTCCATACTTCTTATAGCATATCTTTTGTAATAGATTCCAAGAAATGCACGGATACACGAAGTCGGCCAGTGCTTTTTCTTTTGTCCAAACACCCTGTTTCTTCAAACTATTTATACCATCGATGTATATTCTGAGAAGTCGGTGCATCGATCCCCTGACGACGGCGAAAATCATATTGCACGGTTATTACCGATTTACATTTAGAAAATCGCAACACATAAAACGCTTTTTGTTGTTCGGTCGACATATTTGCATAAAATAACTTATCGCTTAAAAGCAATAATTGTAAAACAAACAATTAATGATATTGTAAAACTTGAGAACTTGGGTATACCCTCTATTAATTGGTATATAATATGATAAAATACAATTTATAATTACCATTTCATAGCTATTTGAAATCGGATGAATCAATTTGATTAACCCTGTACATTATAATTACTAATATTTAATTTAACTATGATTGTTTCTTGACTTTTCCATGTTTTTACATGAATGATGATCTGAGTAAATAAATTATATTTATAAAGTTGTTATTAATTTTATTCACTTTGAAATCCATATCACTTTTAATAGGGAAACAAATAAATCTAAGAATTTAACAACTAATCCAAATGCTTCAGATTTTAAAATAGAATTTAATCAATAAAAATGATTATGTTTGATAATAACTATAGTGACTACCTTAACTAGACTTTTAATTATAAAAAAATGTATATAAATATAAAATTCAGTATTTATTTTCCATTACAATAAAATAAAGGATATGTAAATATATTTTGACCAGATTATAATAAAAAATATTTACCCACATTTTTGGTAGGTTAATATACTTATGAGTAAATACCCGGTAAATACTCAAAATATTTACCTACCCGTTGGCAAATCACTAGTCTCACCGTTCTCACTACGAATTTTAATTTCGAAACTGCCTTCTTTTTATTTGTCCAGATATATTTACAGCGTTTTCATATGTGAAATCTGCAAACCCTTGATCAGTTATTTTTTTTATTAAGAATTTAATTTATGATAAATTTTTTTCTCAAAACTTGATGTATTTTATATATTTTTATTTATCCATGTGTTAAAATATTTGTTAAAATAATATACCCACTAAACATATTTTTGTTAACGAAAAATATTAATAATTTATTAATCAATCTAATTGTACAATTTATTTTTAATATTTATTAAAATAAATATAAATGCAACGTAATCATAAAGTAACTAATTAAATTGTTAAATGCAACTAATTGACTTTCAATAAAAAAAAATAAATAAAAAAATGCCACTGATTTATACAATAAATCCATTAAATTAAAAAATAGAAATAGGTAAATATATAAAATGCAAAGAACTCAAATAAAATATGTTACGCTCTTTTAATCGACTTTATTTGAAAATATATAGATTTTTTTTAATTTTATTTGCTATTATCAGGGACATTACTGCAATACAATTAAGTGGTAATAGATGATAATTTATAAAACATACGTTTATATTAATCAAATTGAGAAGCCAGCGGAAACGATAAAAGTAATGATGAAGTTGATGATATGAGTAGAACGAGAGTTAAGGATAAGATTTGAATCGGAAATGAGATAGCCTAGTATGGATAGGAATGAAAAAAGGAGATGTCTACTAGGAGAAAGAGATGGCAATGGAAAAAGATATGGTTAAAGTCGCAGACTGTTTCTACGTGGTGTAGGGTGCATATAGTTATATGTGTTTATAGAGAGTTTAAAGGAATGATGAGGTAGTTAGACTGTGGCCAATTTAAAGGAGAGTAAATAAGACGATCAAGTGTCTAGAGATCTTTAAATCTTTAAACCAATGAGATTTTGAGACAGTGGGACCATAATGGTTAATATCTATGCCATGCGGCATAATTAGGAGGTAAAGAGTACCATTTAGATTGCTAAGCGTTTCGTAGTCGTTTGCAATGAATAGGGAGAAGGTCGGAGTCAATATATAGATAATTCGATGAAATAAAATGTGTGAGCTCTATAGTCATTAAATTTTCATTTTTTTTTTTTTTTTGTATATCACAATAATTTGTTTTTAATTAAGATATAAACCAGGCATGATTACATTAATTAAATCATTTTAACATTCGTTCATAAATAAAGAATGGACCATCACGGAACGCTTGGTAAATGTGAAACGTCGAAACTATTTAATATAAAAAATATGCATGAAAGAATGATTTTTAAAGGAAATAAATATGGAAAAATCAAAACTGTGGCATAAATGAAAATAAAATATTTACATTTTTTTCTGAAAAATTATTTCTTATTCACAAAATATGAATTAATTTAAAGAACGTTTATAGGTAAAATTAATTAAACTTGACATATTTCTCTTTTATTTAATGTATAATTTATTGTTCTAAGACATAAAACTAAAATTATCCAAGCATTTTAAATCAGATGAATCATTTTGAATAACCTTGAATACTACATAATACACAAAAATAATAATTATATTTTTATTAGAATCAATGATTCTGAGTTCCAAAAGCTATTGGTGATGATGTCACTACCGTTGTTTTCAATTGTTGTTCATGATGATACTGTTGTTGATGTTGTTGTTGATGTTGGTTTTGGTGTTGATACTGATGACCCTGGTTTTGCTCACATGTTTCACAATCATTTTGTTGTGGTTTATATTGGTATTGAGGTTGTTGTGGTGAATGTTGATTTGATTGTTGTTGATGTTGTTGTGGGTGTTGGGACTGATTTGGTGAGTGTTGAGGCTGTTGTGGGTTTTGATGGTGTTGTGGAGGGTTTTGAGGTTGTTGTGGTGAGTGTTGAGGCTGTTGTGGGTTTTGATGGTGTTGCGGAGGGTTTTGAGGTTGTTGTGGTGAGTGTTGAGGCTGTTGTGGGTTTTGATGGTGTTGCGGAGGGTTTTGAGGTTTTTGTGGTGAGTGTTGAGGCTGATGAGGCTGATAAGTTTGATCACATGTTTCACATTCATTTCCATGTTGAGGACGTTGGTTTTGTGGTGGTTGCTGAGGCTGCTGTGGTGAGTGTTGATGCTGTTGTGGTGGGTTTTGTGGTGGTTGCTGAGGCTGCTGTGGTGAGTGTTGATGCTGTTGTGGTGGATGTTGAGCCTGTGGTGGGTGTTGAGGCTGTTGTGGGTTTTGATGGTGTTGTTGAGAGTTTTGAGGTTGTTGTGGTTGATGTAATTGTGGTCTTAAAGACGGTTGATTTTGATTCTTTTCTAATGTATTAATATATTGCTTCATATATTCTCCATTTGGATCAAATTTAGCAGCTACTTTTTTTAATATTTCTGGTTGATGATTATTCAGGTAGCACATCATTTTTTCAATCACTTTTTTTTGTAATTCTGTACAATGTTCGCATTCTTTTTGTATCGCTTCAGGAATCATCCCTGCTACGACAAAATATGAATTTAATACAAATAACCACGAACTGAAATTATCTAAACTTAATCCGAAGAAACTTTTATTACATATGAAAAAACTATTCATATACGTTTTTAAGCGTATTATTACAATATAACTGAAATAATTTAAATTATATGATTTAGTAATTCAATTATACAATAATTTATGAATTTATCTCTACATGTTATATTACAATATCAGCTTATATAATTATTAATTATTATTTACTATTTGGTATTCTAAGGTTTTAAAATTTAAAAATTCATACAATTTCCTACAAACTTATTTATAATACTTATAACAAATACCGATTATTATTAAAATTGTATATTACTTCATATACAGGTAATTAAATGACTTTTTAATCGTTATAAAACTAAAAATTACTTGGTATTTTTATTTATTAAAAAAATATTATTGAACTGTAGAGCAGAGGTACCGAACCCTATGGTTATGTCAGGCAGCGGCCTGGCCACAACTTTTCAAATGAGGCCGGGGATCAAAGGGATCTATGGTTTGCAATATTCTGATCTCGATATTATTCTCGCGAAGTCAGTTAGACTTTGTCGGATCGGTACGTGTATGAACGAAACGGAAACGTTCAAATGTGAATTACCTAAATTAAAACACATCTAATATTTTGCGGAACGGTACAGTACGGTGTCTATCGGTACGTGTCTGACTAGTATGAATCATGCTTAAATACTTGTAATTCGCGATCGTAAATGATTTTTCTATGTAAAGTAAAAATAAAGGCTTGTGGCCGTTGGAGTGCTTGAGGCCATTATATTTTCATTTTGCCTGAGTAAAATTGTAAAAGTTCAGCGCCACTGTTGCAGAGTTAATGCTGAGTTAATGAATTTTTATTCTTAAGTTGTATTTATGGTATTGATATCAAACAATAATTCTAAATAACTTTTTCAAATTATTATTATTACATACGTACTAATAATATTAGTCTTATATCTAGGCCCTGATTTACGCAAGTGCAGATGGAGTACTTGCACTTGTCCCCCAATTTCTGGGGCCCTCTGGTCTCCGTAAGTTGTAAAAAATTTTATTTTTAAATTAATTCTACAAACATTTATTTTGTAAACAGTTTTTTGACTTAGGAAATCCCCCGAAAAAAATTGTGCACTTGGCCCTAATATTATTAAATCAGGTCCTGCTTATACCTCTATCATAATAACATTTATATAATTCTTATGTTACATAAGTTTTTTATGTATAATTTTTGTATAAATAAAGATTGGATTTTATAAGTATTTATTGGTTATTTTTCCTATTAACGTAGTGCGAAGCTCAAATATAATACAATCATATTAAATATTTATATTAATTATAATATACAATTAAATATAATATAATTTTTACCATATAGAACAATTATAGACGATTTTATTTTATCGGAGCAATTTTTAATTTCATAATGCTATTTTTAAGATGTATGTAAATTATTTTTATTTAATTTATTTTTTTTTAATATTTTTTTTGACTTGAATTATGCAGGTATAAATTAAAAAAAAAACTATTTAATTACATATCATTAAAATGTGATGACTTAAATTGGTTTCTATAATCATGTTTTATTTAATGACTAGTTTTGTTATTCTTGTACTCGGTACTACGTAGTTCTTAGTCTGAAATAGAACTTTATGATATTTATTTAAATTTATATGCGTCATGCAACAATTTAGAAAATAAACTACTAATAAAAATTACATATTTAAATGTGAAAACAATTTTAATACCTATTTTATTCGATTATTTCATAGATATTATACTATTTAAAGATATTTACTTAATATATTTAAATTTTTACTATTTACTATTTACGATATTCAGTGATTTTTAAACGGAGGGGGGAGGGTTTTGAGGTAAATCTCCCGGAAGGACTAAAACCAAAAATCCATTTTTGAAATTGTTATTATGAAAAATATGCACATCATTAATTTTATTACCATGTGTATAAAACGTAGTATTTTTCAATTATGATAATGGAATCACAACAATTTTAATTTTTCTTCCTAGGAGGTATAAAAATAGACGTTAGATATTGGCATAAAAACATGTTTACAATGTATTCTTCCTTTTCCATAAGAAAATTGTAGTACACCCTAACAATATTATACAATTATTTTTCTCTCCTATACAATTCTCAAGATTTAATAAATGTAGGTGTTTCTATACAAATGCAATCGATATTATACTTTTTTATAGAATGTTGGATATTATGTTTGTATTCATGAACTTAGTTATATTGTTTAATGAGCTAAAACTATCCAAACAGAAATATTATAATGTATAAATTAAATGTACATTAATGATTTTAGAATAATATTTACTGATTTTGTTTATAGTAGTATCTGTGCTTTATGAAATCTATATGTATAGTGATGCCCTTCTATAATTATTATTTAATTGTTTCAATTTTAATTAAATGTATCCTTTTCATAAGTAATATACTTACGTTTAATATTACTGGCTTCAGGACTACAGGGCCCGCTGTCTAAAAAACAATCGAGATAGTTTTCGCGAATTCTCCGATTTCCTACCAGTTTAGTACTGAAGCGGTCGATCGCGCGTTCGTTTTGGATTTTCTCATCGTCGTCGTCGAACCACAGCGGCCGTGGCATAGGACCGCACATCACTGTTGATACGACGTACATGAGAACCACGATGAAGTGCAGTCCTAACATGACCGATTAGAACTACAGCCGCGAAAATTCAATAAAAATCGCAATGAAGGTTGGTTATACCTCGTGTTCAGAAATTAAAATGTGGCTCTTAAACGGAATCGGTTTACTTTTAAACAATGCTAATCCGCCCGGAACTCGGAAGTGACCTCTTAGTTTTACATAGTTCATTGAGGATTTACAATAGGACAGTTTGTCAGCGCGGAACTGATGAACCGAAACTCAACTGGTTTATATAAAGTTTATATAAATATATTATAGCATACACCTATCCGTAGAATTTGAATAAATATCGAAAACAATAACGAATATGTCACAAATGTTGACAAATCATAATTCTTAAGGCATTATAGTGCATTAAATCTAACGGACCGATTAACTGTTTCAGACATCTAGTTTATACGTGATATACAAAACAATTGAAAATTGAATTCAACTAAAAACCTTGAAGTGTTCACATGGCGTATCTAAAACGAATTTTCCGTAAGATTCCTTGACCGAATTTACACTCTTTTTTGACATTTAAATTTATAGATATTTTGTGTTAATCGTTATATTCAGTACGTTGTTGTACACGATTCAGGTGAGTACTTTTTCTACACCAAAATATAATGATCATTAAATGTTTCAATTCTATATTCTTATTGCATTTAAATGTAAAAGGTAAAAATTCTTTGCAGCTATATTTTTACCTTGAGTAATTTGATAAAGCTACTTTTATGTAAGTGAATATTTTATAATTAAGGATATTACAAAAGCCTACAGTAATTATCTTATAATCAGATGGTAAATTATATATTATGTGTAGCTACATACTAGATATTATCACGATATTTTAATTAATTATCTTATAAGATTATTAATAACAATGTCAATTGAACCTTATAGACATTAAATCACGTATCTAATTTTATAATTATACTTACTTTATAATATTATTTCACTATTAGGAGCTTTATGTATGTAATATTATTATTGCCGTTTATGGTCATTAAACAAGTAAGACAAGTTGTATAGCTTAAGTTATGTTTTACATTACAATTCCAAAAAACAAAAATCCAAAAAATAATTATTAATTCAAGAATTAAAAATATATTATATTTAATTATTTTTCAACAATATTTTTTACATAGCAGTCATTTATTGAATAAATGTAAAATAACATTGCATTTTTGAGATTTTATTGAAATACATTTATTTTAAAGACTTACTTTATTACTACACATTAATATTTTTTTAGAAATAAAACCTATTTTTTTTTTTTTTATGTGATTTAAACATAAAATTATATTATTTTTTAAAAATATCTGTAAATTAAAATATGCTTATGAAAACCATTATATTCGTACCTTATAATTTTTAAACTACAATATTGTGATTTGTCAGTTTCAAACAATAAACCCACCTCAAATTAATTTTATCAAACTTCAATAGTAAGTACGCCGTGCGAACTGTTAGTATTTTGTACATTTCCAATTATAAAAAATAATATAAATATGATTTAGTAAATGACATAAAAATTACATAAAATACATTAATCGAACTATTGATATATGCAATATAGTATATGAATAATGGATATTATAATGCATGAATTAACTTATCAAAACAGGTATAATTATAATACTTTTAACATAAAATCAATTTAATCAATCAATAATACACAAGAAAATGCGATGAGTAAGTCAAGTATTTAGAAATTAGTGTAACGTGTTTCCAACAATTCTTTTCTTATATTGTTTAATTCGTTTTATCAGACTGATAATATTAATAATAATATTAATTGGTTTATTAGCTAGTAAATTACAATGAAACTTGAAAATCTTTACATATATAGTAATGGTTAATGATTGCATTTTGACAACGGAACGGCGAAAGAATAGTTTTTCTGTTATTGTTCATTAATCTATGCGTAAATAGTTTTTGGTACAACTCTTCTCATGGAGAACAATTATTTTCTATAAAAATTAAATTATATTTTTGAAAACTAGAGCTACATCAATAATTATAATTAGATAATTAAAATAATAGAACAGTACTGTAATATATAAGAACGTTCATGTATAAAGTTATAATATAGATAATATAATTATTCAATATAGTAATAATATATATATATATATATTTTTCAATCTATAACTTTATTTTTTTGTTATGATTTACATCGATAAGTCGATCTTTTAAGCGGCCTCCTACGATCAATATTACTGTCAGTATTTTGGACACTGACAGTAATATTAATAAGAATATTGATGTATTGTTGACATAGAAAAACTATACTGATGACTGATGGAAAAATCGGACATCGAGTCGTCAATAATTATTTATTGATAATAATATTGATCGTGTATGGTGGATAATAACAGCTTTTCAGTATTAATAGCACAGCGATGGATGATGCACGTGATAAATGTCCAAGCGTGTACGACGTAGTAATCAATGGTTCTACCATGCTTAATAGTTTATTATAGATGTTAATATTCATTGGAAAATAATTCTGGTAGTCTTTGAGACCTGAAAGCTGGATTTATTTTAAAAGGTTTAAATAATTCTTCCTATAAGTAATCCGTTTATTTAGAATAGAAAATGCTAAAATAATTACTACGCACGCTTTTCGTTTTTTGTCCATTATAAATAATATTTTTTATACATAAATTAGTGGTGGGCATATCCGGATTTCAAAAATCCGAATTATTCAGACTTAGTAAATCCGGATTTCACGGATTATTATTATATTATTATTATATCCGGATTATTCAACTCGATTTTGCTGTTCAATGACTCATTTTTATATACTAATAATATTTTAATAATATAACATTTTGTTAAATTTTCATTATAATAAAATAATTTATTTTACCATACATTTAAAATATTTGTAAGTCTGAAGTCACATAAAAATCAAATCCATAAATCCGGATAATCCGGGAAATCTTGATAAGAATTTGATTCAAATCCGGATATTCGGATAATTCAGATATTCGGATTTCATGCCCATCCCTAATATAAATAAATGGTCATCTTATTCAATAAATCATATCATTATCGGTATTAGTCATATTAGTATATTAGTATTGACAATTGTATGTTGTATATAATTCTAACAGAGTAATAGATACACAGAACCTTATTTGTTCATTTAATTAAATTAAGAAGCATACACACTCGTATTCTAATCTAATAATTGTAATACAGAAGAACTACTAGATTTCTATAAAAATGTCAATTAATTTTGATTATCTGTAAATTATGATCCTTACTCAATTATAGGAAATATAATATATTATTAAATTTAGTGCAAAAATATTATAGTACTTACAAGATTTTTATTCACTCTTAAATCTATTATGCACTTGAAAAAGACTATTTAATGGCTAATTTTCTGTGAACTATTAATAGGTAAAATATGTAATGAAATAGGGAATTATAAACTGGGGTGTTCCCTTACATTTTTCTGAGAGAATACTATGCCATTATGTACCAAAACACGAACTTTTAATACAATACAAATAATTATTTTTTGGTGTATTAAGGACGTGTAAAAATAAAAATAAATAAATTGAAATCAAATTGGCTTAAATATTTTCTTATTTTTTATTTTATAAGTTATAAGTTATATATATATATATATAAAAGTGATCTTTTAAATATACCTTTATGTATGCAAACAATAGGTCGGTATTTAGAAGTGACTACTCTAGTTCTCTAGTTCTAAATCCCGGTGAAATGTTTAGTTCCAGTCTACCCTTGATTACTGAAGCCAAATAGTATATAATATTTCGGTTATCGATATCATAAATAATTATTGACTTACCTTATCACGGGAAATATGATTTCAAAAATAAACTACATTTACTTTCGAGGCATTATCTGAGTAACCAAAGTTGTATCCTTTGTTGTGGTTTGAGAATACACACGTATACCCGTAATTTTGTAATAATTTCTTGAGAGTATACGGCGTATATCTAGTATACCCTATGGGAACACCCCTGATTATAAGATGTAATGTTTTCAATTAATTTTATTTTCATTCATCAACACTTGCAATGAAAAATATCGTATATCACTGTTTCTAACTTTTTAGAGTAATTAAATTTTATATTCATAAACTATTTTTCAATAAAAATGTTTGAAAAATTAATGGTGTGGTAAACTTTTAATTTAATTGAAGTAAAATCTAATATTTTTTCGTTATTTCAACCTTTTTTCACGAGTCAAGTATAATTGACGAAAATGACATATTACGACTTGTTTCATTGCTTATGTCCATATATACCAACAATTATATAATTATTTATATTTATTTATTTTTATTTTTTTATTAATTATAGACCCGCGGCGGCTGTGGCCATTGGTCTGATATTATGGTACATTAAATATATTGCTTAACCTAGAGCTTAAAATTAAACATTCATATTTTATTATACAAATTGGAATTTTTTTAAGAACTTTAAAAACTTTTGTGTTAAGTTTGATTCCGAAAAAAGGATTTCATATAGATGTATAAAGCGTATTATGTCTTTGCGGTCACTCTGGAAATTGCGACATTCGGTGAGGATGTGATTGACTGTAATTTAAACACCACGAGTGGGACATTTGAGAGACGCTTCTTTATTCATTAGGTGTTGATGGGTCATTATTGTATGTACTATTCTGAGGGGATTTAATATGGTTTCTTATCTTCTGGAACTATCTAAGGGAGGAAACTATGGTAGAATTGACTGTTTAATTTCATTAAGTTAAGTAGTCCGTGTTTACCAATAATGTTGCCACACTTTAGAGGTGTGGTTTTTAATATATTTTTTTGCATCGGCATAGGAGAAGCCTAGTATAGTGAGATTTGTATACATGTTATGTGAGAGCCTGGCAGCTTCGTTAGCTTTTACATTGCCCAGGTATATATATCCAGGTATCCCCATAAATGATATGTGTTTACCAACGGATTTTGCAATGTGACAGGAGTTTGAAATGTTCCTTGCTATGTTTTGTCAACTTGACAGTGCGTTTATGGAATCGGATAGTATGATACAACGTTTGTCATCACCTGATTGAATAATATATTTGATTGCTTCAAGTATGGCCTTCGATTCGGCTTTATATATTGAACATTTATCTGATAGTTTAAGTTGAATTACTATGTCGCCACATATAATAGCTACTTCTACTTTTTGGTTAATTATTGATGCTTCGGTGTAAATCTGTGTATGTGGTTGAGATTGGGCATTATTTCGTTGAAATCATAGTTGTAAATGTTGGGTTTCGTATCTTTTTTTGGGAGATAGTAAAATTTGAGTTAATATCTAGAGAGATAGACCATGGTGTTTGAATACTAAATGCTAAAGATATGATCTGGTCTAGTTCGAATATATCTTATTTGTTTTGAAAGATTGTTTTGAGGGAACAGGAGATTCCCTAAGGGGTTCTATAGATTTTGGCTGTCAGGAGTGATTTCCGTTCTACCTATCTAATGTAAGAGAGAGTTCGCAAGCAATGTTACATATGCTGTCAGGCGCATGTAAATTCCACCGATCGCTACCTTTTTAGACCTTTTTTCATGTAAATTCCACCTGTATGTTTTTTTTTTTACCCGAAAAAAAATGTAAATTCCACCAGTAAGTTTTTTTTTACCTGAAATAAAAGTAATATTATTTAGGTAAAATTTTAATCCAAATCCAATCTGATTAATTAAGATTATATAATTTATGTGGGTATAGATTAATTATAATATATTTAGTGTTTTTAGATACAATAATTTAAATTTAAAATGTTTAGATGCAGCTTTGACGAATTGCATAATGGTAATATTGTTTTCTTTGAATAACGAAATTATGGTGTTTAAATATTTTAGGCGTGATTTTGATTGTGAATTTCTAAGGTTATTAGGTTCATTAATATTGTTTAATTTAATGTAAGTGAATGATTGAATATCTAATAGAACTTTTTTAAAGTGATGTATATTTGAATGTATGTTCTCAAAGGAGTTTATGTGTTTTCAGGTCAAAAATAAGTACCGGTGGAATTTACATTTTTTTTCAGGTAAAAAAAAAGTATCGGTGGAATTTACATGTTATAAATCCAACCTTAAAATCGACTATCTGTGAATTGGTGGAATTTACAATCGCCCATGCTGTCTATGGAGCTGGATCGAAAGATCCCTATTGATAGTCGCAAGCATGAGTTGTGGATAGTTTCATGTTTTTTTAGGTGATGTTGGTTAACCATAGAAAATATGGATGACCCATATATATATATATATATAATATTTTAAACACTACAACATTTTGGATATTGTTTATTTTCCCAAAATTCCAAAGGAGTAAAATATAATATTTCAGTGGATAGTACCTACATAGCACTACACTAAACACATACTACATTTTAAAAACCATATTAAACAATTATTATAATCGATATGTATCTTCAAAATAATAAAAAATATTTTTTTTGCCTGTGGTATAACGTTAGGAAATTAATTATCATTCAAATAATAATAGTTGAACACCAATTAAGTATCAAAAAATTGATTATAAGCTCATATATATTAAAAATCAAAATAATAATTAGACATTAAATTATGCAAAATTAAAAATTTGATTATAATCTCATATTTAATATAATAAAAAATTAAGTTAAATATAGAAGTATGCAATAGTAAAAGTTATAGAAATAGTTATTAGTTATATACAAAGTATGAAATATATAGTAAGAATATAACAAGAATAAAATAGAATATTTATATGTATACAAATGAACTATTTGAAATATTAAATTATTCTTAGTTGACATTTATTTATACTTTAATGTTCAATCTTTTCGCATCTTCAGCATAACGTTGTTTGTACGTTCCTTGAGGATCGTATTTTGCTTCAAGCTCCTTCCACATATCATTCTTGTTTTCGTACAAATATTTGATAACTTTTTCGGAAGCCAGTTTTTGTTTTTCCGAACAGTCTGCGCATTTATTTTCTATTGCATCTGGTATCAAACCTGTTTGAACAGTTATACAAAACGAGTAATAAATATTTGAAGAAATAACAATATAATAACACATTTATTTAGCTTTTATATAAACCTTTATTGTTCCGTCATGTTTCTATTGTAACAAATTAGAAACAAATAATATCATATCTCGATATATATCAATGTATTACGTAAAATAATAAATCAAATTGAAGCATTATACGATGTTTTATTAACTAGTGGAAATATAATGTAAAAGGTACAACATTAACTGAAACCAAAACAATCAGATAACTGTTATTGTGTGTGTGTGTGAATGACAATTAAAGACATTTTTTCAGTTTTTTTGGGATAATTTTTCGGCTTCTGTCTGATACGCTTGATTGATGGCCCCATGCATTTCATTGATAGTGCCCATTAACTCAGGTGGCATATATTGAAAAGTGTTAGCAAATGCAGCGTTCAGAACGTTTACTCCTACGTCTGTAAATATAACTTATCTGGTCACAAATAGTATACGAAACAATTTAGAAACTACAGGGCTTAGATAATATATATATATCGCTCTTTGAGAAAATACATAAATAAAAACCTATTCATTTTAAGTATTTAACTGAATTTGTGTTAAAATGTTATATAGGTAACATTTGTAACGGTTAATAGTTGAGTGTTTTTCTTTCTAAATAAACTATAACGAAAAAAATAAATATCAATGAGACTTTTGTATATAAAATATTTAAAAATTTTATGAGTATTACATGTTATATTATTATCATGTTAATATTAAAATACGAATTCAATATTTTAATACATATTTAAAAAAAAAAAATAATATCAAATATGATAAAATATCAATAAATATCAATATTTATTCTTTACGTGTCTAATTTATGGCATAATGTCTTTAGATGATGATAAATAAATAATGACTTCAACGACCATCGTGGGATCCTATAAAACTCATAAGAATATCTGATAATTTTGCTTATGTTTTCGATAAAGGCTTTTGTCTAAAACATAATTTGAAATATTATATTTTGGATTTACAAAACATATGCAATTTCATATGCATGCAAAACATAAGTGGAGTACATAGTAAAAATGTGTTCAACGTTCTCTAAAGCACGATATTGTTATGTAATAGTATTACAATTGTTACATTGTAATACATTGATGGATATCGTTAGTTTCGAATAATCGATTGAATGATATATGATCGGTTTAACGTAAGGAAATTGAAAAACACTCACGTTTAATTTCCTCGCCTTCCGGTGTACATTTACCCATGTCCATAAGACATTTGAAGTAACTGGTAACCAGACGATCGTTGCCTAGAATTTCATCGATGTTCACATTATCGTACTTGGTAGTATACTTTTCCGGTGCTGCCTGGGTCATAACGATGGCCGCGAAAATGCAATAGAAGACTGCTAGTGACTTGATCATTTTTATTCTGCGTTTAATACTTGTCTGCTTCTAACTCGAAGACGAAATATAACTTCTTGTGCATTGACGTTTGGCGATGAACTACAGGTTGGAGTAAAACGGTTCTCCGTTATATATACACAGGTGGGTCCCACGAGTTGGTGGAAAAAAACCTAATATTGTTTTACCGTGACGTCACATGACAAGGGCTCATTATTAGCGTGCCAATCTAACCGAATCGAATAATTTTTGGAATTCCCCTCTACGTAGTAATGCGTGAACTATTATACAAGTACAAGACATTGACTGGACATACACCCAACTGTGGTAATTTTTTGTTTCCAAGTCAGTGCAGAGGCAAACAATATTTCTACCTTGTAAAATGCCTTTGTTTGGTGGTCACACATGGTCGAACCAAACGTCGAACAAACGTAAGCGCACTCGTGTATCGCACGATGTTTATAATGTACTCGGTTAGTGTACCGTTAAATTATATTTAGAAAAAAAAAATAACAATTGATAGAAAAAATGTTTTGTACTTGAACGTTATTTAAATAAATTTACTTAAAATAATCCACTAGCAGTAGACGTGTAAATCATTGTAATAAAAATTAATAGGTAATCAAATATTCTGCTCAATTCGAGTACCGGTGATGTAGGTACTTATTTATTCATATATTGATGACTATAATAACTTTGAAAACCGAATATAGGAATATCTTACATGGTGATAGAGAAATTTAAATATTTTGAAAAAATATATGGCTATAAATATTATTATTAAATATTTTTTTGAAACGATAAAAACCACTATCCCCCTTCTATGGTACGCTATTGGGGCTGATATTTAGGTATTGATGTTTTTATAAATATTTTTCATTCGACTAAATGTATATGGTTTCGAATCCATTACTAGTGTTAGGATTTGAAGGCTGAAAAATTTTAAATTTTTATAATTTTAAAAAAATTATAGAAATATAATTTTATTATCAAAATGTGTTTCATCGAATTTTCAAACAAAATAATAAATATTACTTTTCACTGTTTCATATTATTTTACTATTATTATACTTTCAAACTATTCACAAAATAATATAAATGTATTTTTTGAAAAGTGTTTTGTTTACAGTAATTATATTCACTTATTAATGTATATTTTTTATTTTATAAACGATCAGGCAGTTAAAAATGTAAAACAAATACTAATTAGCGTATAAAATACTACAAAATATTATGAAACACTGATACATCTTTTATTTTGAAGGTTTGATGAGCCTCGTTAATTATAAATAGCAAGGAATTTATGCGATGGTAGAATTTTGTTTGTACAATTCAATTACATCATCGTTGTCGGTGGTTTTTCTCTTTCCATGTAGTCTATTATAGAGCAAGATACTAGTACACTTTTTTATAAGAAATTATTTTAACTTCATTGTTATGCATAATTGTTATACAATAACCGACAGATTATTTTTATTATTTCAGTATTATACAAAAATGTATATAGGTACCTACTGAGCAAGAAATGTAAAAAGAAATCTAATTGTTATAACATTTCAATATTTTAAAATTGAAAAAATTACCAAAATCTGGAAAATATGCTTAATTATTATTATTGAATTACAGAGGACTCAAATACATTTTTGCAATTATAGTGACGATTAGTTTTCAGTTTATCAAATCGTATGTTATAATGTACCATGTCAAAACTACTTCAAAATACTGAGAAAATTGAATATAAACTCGTATTCGTATTACAAATTGTACTGCAAAATACGAATGTTAACTTGTGGTAGATGAACAGCCGACCTATGTGGTAAGTAATTCGGGAAAGTTGAATAGCTAAACCATTATATTTTGAGAGCTATCTACTACCTATGTGTGCTCGGTAAACACAAGAGTAGACAGCGCAATGTAACGAACAAACATTGAAAAAATAAATAATTAATTTTGAAGGGGCTAGAGCCGATAATGCTTATATACACACTATGCGATTAGTCCTCTTTAGGTTTATAATGTCCGCAGGAACGACAGTCAGATCTAGGGTAGAGCAACTAAGAAGATATTTGTTCCGGGCTTTACGCTTCAACTTCTAAAATTACAAGCCATTTTAAAATGCCGTAAATTACTATTGTGAACTTACACAGATATATTATGCATAATATACATTTTCTATCGATGATTTTATTTTTTTTCTTTAAATCTAAGTCAATGACTAAAATAAAAGTCATCACCAACCAAAAATTGATCCTTATTTGTACCGATTATTCTATGTAAAATCTAGTCCCCGCAAATCTGGTTTATGTGTTTTATTACATAATAATTAGACTAGTGAATACAATATCATGGATATTTACTAAATAATAATAAAGAAAAAAATTAAGATTGATGGTAACACAGTTTTAATAATCTATTTATTTGTATTTTATTATAAGATAATTGTATAGATTTCTGTTTGATTAATTAAAAAAAATGTGATTTTGATTTCAAAGTATATTTTTTTATCTAATTTTAAATTAAATTGTAATTATCTATGTTATTTCATAATTATATAAGGCTTACATTTTTTAAAAAATACGTGGTCATAGGTGGTAAATTGATACTGATGATATTATAATAATATAATGTATTAACTATAAGTTTAATATAGATACAGAATTATTTTTTTTCACGATTTTGGTAAATGTATGTGTTTCTAAAAAAATATTTTCATATTTTATATTTTATATTATATATATTCATATTTTTTTATTATAAGTTATTACTGCGCAACATTTATACAAATATTTATATGGATTTTATAGTTATTTTAAATTGTGAAGCAGAATATTTTTTTTGAAAAAGTAATACAATATAGAATCGAACATGGAAACAATAATAATTAATTAACTATGAATATTATAGATATACAAAGTGTGCAATGCTGTAATAATACGGGGTCACCACGCAAAATGTTGGTGTGCAAGAGTTAAAGATTATTTTAGACTAAAGATTCATTTTAAATTTAAAAAAAAAAACTTTATTTATTTAATTGCTGGCCTGGTATTTAATTTGTGTATTTAAATTTTAAGGAAAATATTTCGAAATCAAGGATATAACTTGTAGCAATTTATTTAATCACGTTCTCATGTTTCAGACACATTTCGTATTTTACCCATAAAATATTATATTTTAATAAACACTGAGATTCACAGGCGTAAATAAATAACATATAAAAACAATATAGCTTTAAATTTGTGCAGATACATATTTTCATCCTAACATGGTTAAAATTACGATCATACAAAAAGTTTCAACAAAACATTACCTGCTACAAAACAAATAAAATTTAGGTTCTTCATTCAGAATTTCCATAAGTTGTACACGATTTAATAATTTGTATATTTTTAAATTCAGTAAAATATCGTTATAAAAATAAAACATATTTATTCAGATATATGAATATATTCAGATATGAAGCAAAACCTTGATTTTACGCTTTCTTTTAGTATTAACTGGTTCGAGTACAACTATAAACATGCATTATTTCTACACAAGTATGTAATACTATGCAGTGAACCAATAAAATATCATTCAAGCCCGATTATAATGCTCAATGCGAATCACATAAGTACAATAAAACAATGTAATCAATTGTTAGGTGTTTTATTGTTCGTATAATAGAAATTAGAATCAATATTGCAGTTTCGCTAAATTGTATGTTTAACCGTGATAAAAAAAAATACTAAAAATATATTAGCATATATAATAAATAAAAACGTTGAAAACAGTAGTATTACATCAATGTATGAAATATGAATATTATGTATATCAATGGTTATTATAAACGATCGTAGGAGAATAATTATTTTTTTACACTTTATTTTTCTTTTTATGAAATCTATGAATGAAACTATACCACATTTATGAAGCACCTTAAGTATCTGTAAAAAATATTAAAATCTAATTAAATAATTAATACAATTTAGCTTGCATATTTTGTAATAATTTTTATTTTCTTGGAAAATTTTGACATCTACATTTTTTTTTCAATAATTTGCTAGGTACCTACTAACAGGACCGGCGATAACGCCATAAGAGTGGGCGACCTGGGTCTACACGCAAGGCGCTTGTTGAAAGGGAAATGCCTCAATAATACAATGTTAAAACTGAAAAATTACAGGAATATAATTATAATATTCTATCCATTCTATAAACTATTATTTATTATGATAGGTATATAATTTAGTCCATAGATAATAAATTATTATTATTGTCAGTCGTCGTTCGCTATTTATTTAGAATTTATATATTAATAGCATCAGATTTAAAATAAAATAACTACTAATTATATGGGGAAGGGCACATATTTGTTTTTTCACCCAGACCGCCAATGACTCTAATACCGGCACTGTTTACAATTCTGTTGTGTTTAGTTTTTTTCTTGTGCTAAAAAAAAAAAAAATTAGCAAATCTTCAAAGTCCTTTTTTTCGTCCTGAAAAGAATATAGGATACTTCGGTAATAGTTGAACAGGGTAACAAATTGGATCACGATTCCAAATTTGCGTAGGTTATTATTTTCATGTCCGAAAATATATAATTTTATTAATTACATAAATTTGAAAACAACGATGAATCATTGCAATGGAAAATTTATCCATTTTAAATGAAGGTCAGAGTATTATAAATAATGCAAACATTAATAATGAAATCACAACATTAAGTTGTTTTTCTAGAGTTTCATGCGTAATAAAGGAAATTCATACACTAGAATTATAATCATTTTTTAATCAAAATAAATATAAACGTACAAACACTTGTATAATACATTGTACTTGCAATTTAAGTAATTTCGATTATCTTTGGAGAAACTACTGAAAAAAAAAAAATATGTATTTTTAAAGTATCCATTACAATGATTTTATACTTTATAATTATAATCAAGGAAGTTATTTGAAGGAGGGTTAGGGTGTGTAGTTCCACCCCTCACTTTAAAAATAGTCCCAATGGGCCTGCTAAAATAATGTACCATGTATTTATACAATTAAAATTGTAAAAAAGTAACAAAGTCAAATAATTGTGTTCAAAATATAAAAACTGATGTAATTTACAATATCATAGACAGATGAATATTAATCTGTTAATATAATTTTT